GGTTTAATTAGCTTTAGCTTGCTGAACGTAAGCTCCACACAACCCGTGTAGCACCGTCCAGCTGGACTGGCCATATGCCAGTCACTTCAACATACGCAAGTTTGTTTGTATACACTTCAATAAAAAAAATACTGTTGAACTACTGAAAAAATACTGTTGAATAGATTTAACTGATAAGTATTCTTCTTGTTGTTATTTTAATGCATAATTTTTGTCCACTAACTCGTCCTGCAGTTTTCAAAATATCGGCACGGAACCAGCTTCAGAATGTTCGGCCTGACTGTGAGAGTGCTTTTGATTGGATGTAGGGTTTCCGCGTAGCAGCCATTTAAAGTTGAATTTTTTCCCATAGGAATGAATGATGGAATGCTTAAGAAATGCAAGTATACTAGCAACCACCTGGAACACCATGGCACTCACCTCCAATAACACAGCAACCACCACAAATGTCTCAGCAACCACCTAGAGACCACCTGGAATACCAAAGCAAGCACCTATCAATACCCTAGCAACCACATTATAAACACCCTGGCAACCAAGATAGAGATAGATGTAAATAGAGAGATAGAGGGGTAGAGAGAGATAGAAAAAGATAGAGAGGTAGACAGAATAGATATAGAAAGAAAGAGTGTGAAAGGAGTGAAAGGAAGGAGATAGAGAAAGAGAGGGATTGGCAGAGAGAAAGGAGAGAGCGAGAGTGGGGCAGAGGGAGAGAGATGTAAAGAGAGTAGGGGGCAGTAGAGGAGGGGACAGTATGCATCAGCGTGCATCAGAAAGTGTGCGATAGCCCAGGCTTAGCCGAAATGCTCACGCTAACGAGAGAAAACCACGGAGTAGCCACACCGGTGTGTGAGTGAGTACCACCTGCTACCCTTCACAATGGACACAACGCACGAGAAAATGGGCCGGACAGGGGGGATGGGCAGTGCTTTTGTCTGGGCATCACGCTGAATGAAGTGGCTATGGCTAGCCAGCTGTCAATGGGTTATAATGCAGTACAGCTAGCACTGCGCTAGCATACAGCTGTGGATGCAGTGGGTGTGATTAAGAATGCATGTTGTGCATTATGCATGAGGCGAATGGTGCAGATTTGCAAGCCTTGCAGTATAATGTGCATGCTGAGCTATCAAATGCATGCATGCATGCATCCCAGTGCGTTTTACCCAGTTTGCACATCCTGCAGTTTGTGCAGATGCAGTTATTCTAGGTTTATTTTAAGCTGGGCTTATTTGACATTACACTGATCATCAAAATGATGAAGGAATGCATGAAACAATCGCCAAGAATTTGCTTTGTGGCTCTTGGACACGCTGCGTGTTTTTGCTAGAGGACAAGCAAACCCTGCAGAAGTCGCATGTGCAGACGCATCATCTGCGGGTACAGCAGCGTTTGAGCTTCCAACATGTCCTCACTGCCACGTAACACACTGGTTTGTTTTGGTTCCTCCTCCATTGCAGTCACGTGACGGGGTACAGCGGGCACACGTCACTGGGATTGCACCACGGATGAGCGTCCTTAGCGTTTGCACAGGGAATGGCTTTGCGCTCAGGAAGTGAAGCAGAGAGAGAGAGAGAGTTTTCTTTCTTTGTGCACTATGCTCATGATGTGACCTACGATGAAGAAAACAATGGTGCTGCTCAGTGATGCGCAAATCTAGCTTTGCGGCTGGCCTTTTATCTGTTGAGAGAGAGGGAGAGAGAATGGTGGAGAGAGATATGAAAAGAGCAAGAGGTGGAGAGAGTAAGAAAGAGACACAGCTATGGCGACAGTGAGAGCGAGCGAGACAGTGATGGAGAAATACAGAAAAAGATACGGAGAGAATGGTGGAGAGAGACATGAATGGAGAGTTGGAGCAAGCAAGAGAGGGAAGCGAGGCAAAGAGAGGGAGAGAGAGAGAGAGAGATTTGCAGAGGTAAAGGTGGAGAGAGAGAGAAGCAGGGGTAGAGAGAGGGGTACAGAGAGGTAGAGAGAGAGAGCTTGAGTGTGAGGGAGCAGTAGAGAGAGAGGCAAACAGTCAGTAGTAGTGGTAGTACCTGATCAGGCCTGTAGCCACTGGTTGCATTATGTATGTTTTTAATTTATTGGAAAAAGATCAATAAAAAAAAAATAGAACTCACTAAAGACATTTCTGACTGTGAAGAACTCAAACAAAAAGGCTTCATGATTGCAGCCTCACAAGTGACGGGCTGTGGTGATGTTTGCTTGCTCATCTGAGTGAATGTTAAATGGGTGCATTGTTCAGACCAAACGGCATCCTCACATTGTTAAAATAGCCCTAATAATGTAGTATAGAGTAATAAAGGCCTCTGATTGGCCAGCGTCTCCCGGGAATTCAAATTAAACCAATCAGAAGGGGCAGATGTACCAACATGTTACATTTTTTGTAGTTTGTACTTGAAACACACTGTACTGTCTGTGTGTCTGTATATTTCAGACTTTTAACTGACTTAGACTTTCTTTTGCTTTGATTGACTTTAACTATGTTTATTTTATTAAAATAAATGATTAAACAGTCTATTTTGTGACTACCAAAACAACCATAACGCTCCTCAGACTTTACCAAATGTTTCAGTAGAGACTGCTTCCGCACAGTTTCAGCTAATTTTGAACAGAGCTCAAAAACACAAGCCAGTACATGACCAGCAAACACAGCTTTGAACAGCTGTGCACACATAAAAATATCATATTTTTCATTAAAACACAAAAAAGTTTCTTTTTTTGGAAAAATGTTTTTCGGTAGTGATAATTCATAATGTTCCAGACTGATTTTCAGACTAACTGCTCACCATGTGGCCATGATGAACAGGGATGCAGTCTTACTTCCTGCTGTAAAATGCAGGGACGTGGCTAAAATAAGGGTCCGTCTGCCAGCTAAAACTTTTTGTGTTTCAGTAATGACAAAACAGTGGACGGCATTTTTTGAACAAAGTTTGTTATTTAAAATCTTAAACTTATGATAAATCTAAAGTGTTTAACTTTGAAATAAATCAAAATAGCCTTAAAACATATAAAATATAAGCAAGTAAATTTAGTGGTTTGTATATTTTTGGGACAGACATCTCCCAATAGAAGTACCTATAAATGATGAATTTGTGTATCACTGCTGTCGGAACAAAACCTTGTATCTCCAAAATGGTAACTTTACAGGAGGAGGAAAAAACCTACTTTACTTTTAATGTAAGTCAATGACCAGACGTTTGTCCAAGTCATTTTGGGTCGTTTATTTTAGTCCATTCATCATGAAATTTACACACAATATAAAAGACAAGAGGTATTTTCAAATTATGTCAAAAAAAGAAAAAAAATGGAGATACGAGGTTTTGTTTCAACAGCAGCGATATATAACTTCAATTATATATATAACAGCGGTATATACGCAATTTATTTAACTTATCATCTCAGTAAATGCTCTGGGTTTAAATAGATAATAAATTGTAAATATCTAAGGTATGAATACATAACTGTTTATTTTTATTCATTCCAGCAACTTGAACTAATTCAGTAGTTACCTATTGGATTTATACACCAGTCGCTGCCTGAGGAAATCCAGAAGGATTATGAAGGACCCCTCCCATCCTAGTCACTGTCTGTTCTCTCAGCTGCCGAGTGGTAGGAGGCTCAGAAGCTTAAAAGCCAGAACCAGTCGGCTCAAAGACAGCTTCTTCCCCCATGCAACCAGGCTATTGAACAGCCAGTAATCACTGCTCTGCCCAGCCCAACCCTTCCCATTACACGTACGTGCACCCACTGTACTCCCGCACTTTACTTGCATAGCTGGACTTTGAATACCTATCCAAAGACAATACTCTCCCCCTGCGCTTCCACTTAACTTCCTGTACCTTGCACTTTACTAAATACTCTGCCACCTACTGTACCATCTTCTACCTCCACACCTAGTGTGATTATTTGCACATCCACATAGCATTGTAATATCCATTACTATATATAGTATATAGTTGATTACACCCACCCTACATTCCCAGTGCAATATTATATGTCTCGGTGCAATATTATTATTTTTAAGTTATTGTGTAAGATTATATGTATATATTTTAGTTAAATTGGTTTTATCTATTCTTCTATCCTATCTATAGTTTTGTTTATCTATGTGTAAATACTGTTCTCTGCATAATTTGTGGAACTCGCACTCAAGTTTTTCACTCACCTGTGTCCCTGTACTCTTGTGATGTGACAATAAATCTGATTTGATTTGATTTGATTTAGACAGGTCCGTATCAGCATCGACTCCTGTTTCTAGCAGTGCCTTAGTTGAAGTATATGTTTAGACTCTGGCCTATTTGCACTGGTACACAAGGAAATTCCATCACTGAGATGTGAAGAAAGTCATTCAGAGTGGTTTGATGTGAAATGGTTCATTGTAGAGAAACGTAGTGACTCAGATTTCTTTACAGTGGTGGTGATAGGAACCAGGAATCACCATGACTACAAAAAAAAAACAAAAAAAAGCAAATATTTACTTTCCAAAACCATCACTGGACCTGCACTTGTCCTTTGAGTTTTACCCTTGTGTAATGGTATGTGCAATGACATTACATTGTTTACCTTTCAATATGTAAAAAAATAAAAGATAACTGTCTGTGAGGAGCTTTTAGAGGTGGACGTCTGGTTCCTGTCACCACCACTGTGAACAGTTCTGACTCTGTAAGTTTCTGTAGAATGGCACACGTGTAATATGACTAGATAGTCTCTAGCATATTTAGTGCATATATGGTCAAAGCTTATCATGTTTTCATGATTATACACATGATATATCATATTTAGCTACTCTGAACCCTCTAGAAAGATGTTGGGTGCATTTTTGATTTGGCTTGGTTTCATTTCCGTGGTAAAAAGCTGAGGCGTATCGGTTTCGTGGCTGATGCTAAAAAAGATGCTGATGATAACTGAAGGAGTATCGATCGTCAGATTGACATTTTTAGCAGGTTTGTGGAGACTTTGATAACAGAATTGATCGATTGATTGCCTGATTGATTTGTCAGGGTGAGGAAGCTGAAGGAGACGCTGGTGATGGTGCAGCAGTTGGATAAAAACATGAGCAACCTCCGGACGTGGCTGTCCCGGATAGAGGGGGAACTTTCCAAACCCGTCGTCTACAGCGCCTGCCACGGCGACGAAATCCAGCGCAAACTGGCTGAACAACAGGTACATCCTACAAACCATTCCAGTTTGGGCCATGAGAGTTTTAACATGTGCTTCTAACAAGAGTTTGGAAAATAATTGATATTTAAAGCAAGTCTTTCATAGCAAGGAAGACTTTTAATGAACATGAAGCTGAGTTAGCATGCAGCTATGTGCTAATTTAATTTTTCTTACATAATAGAAAAAAAAAAAACAGCAAAATTTAAATTTGAAAAGAAGGATAAGTGTCCCCAAACCGGTGACAGGCAGTATATATAAAATAAGCTACAATTTTTTCCCTGTACAGAATATATTTAATATGTATAAAACAGCTTTAGCACAAGGGTGCCCACACTTTTTGACCTGCAAAAGGGATGAAGCAGTACACAAACAAAGTTCTAAAAGTTTTGAAGCATGCTTCTAAAAATGTATTTTACAAGATTACACCAAAAAAGTGTAAAAAATATAATTCTAAAAGAAAAATAATGTGTATATAGTATAAAAATGTTTTGTTTCTTTTTTTTAAGAAAGAGTTTAGGATAGCTTTCTGATTGGCCACATTAAACGTCCTCACAGGGCAAGCCCTGATCTAGAACACCTATATTTTTAAAAACGTTACTGTGATTTTAGCACAGGAACAGTGTCTCAAAGTCCCTTCCTGTGATAAAATCTCATTAACGCACAGCCTCAAGTGGCTTATTGCTTTTAAGAAACGGTGGCCAACATAAAATATGATAAAATACACATTTTTTTTCAGAAAATAATATAGTAAAATAAAGTTAGCACCAATCCAGCGGCGCCCCTCTTCTCACGCTGGGGCTGAATCTCAAATGGCTCCCTGCTCCCTACATAGTGCCCAACAAAGCAAAATACAACTAAGAAACAGTCATTTGTCGCTAGTTCGATCCCTGGTGATGCTACAGCCGTCCGTAGCCGGGAGTCCGAGAGAGCACAATTGGCCTCGCTCTCTCTGGGTGGGTAGGATGGCCCCTCCTTCTCCCCCCATCACTCAGCGCGATGCTAGTCAGCGCAGGCGTCTGTTAGCTGACGTAACAGATCTGGCGGTTGGCGCTTTCCTCCGAGCGCGTTCGGCTGTCCAGTGACGTTGAGTGAGCGGCAGTTCGAAAAGAAGCGGTGGCGCTTCACAGGTCTCGGAGGAAGCCTGTGTTAGCCTTCACCCTCCTAGCGTTGATAGCATCGTGTGATTGGGGGAGTCCTAACTAGCGGGTGGAATTGGAGACGACTAAATTGGGGAGAAAATCGGGTAAAAAATAATAATAATAATAATAAAAAAAAAAAGAAACAGTCATTTGAGATTCTGCCACATCCACACTCGATAAGTGACTACTATTTGGCGGTAGAGGCTAGAATTTCTAAACTTTCATAGCTAGAACACTCTTTAGGGAGTACAGAGCCGTTTGGGATTGAGCCTAGGGACGCGACTTCTGACTGAAACACGAACATTTGAAGTGTGTAAGACATTCAGGTGACATTTTTAGACTTTATACTGTTGTTTTACAGTTAATCACATCGTAAGTACTTTAATTCAAGTCTGTGATATTAATGATGGAGTTGTTTAGGTTGTTTGTCTATCTTTTAGCCTGTTAGCGAGCTGACCAGCCCCTCAGTTTAAACAAAAAACGGGTTCTTACTTCATCAGTACACTCGGTGGACCTTGCGAGCAGCATGAGAATCAAAGATTCTTCCATTAACAGCACAATGGTTTTTTGGTGCCGTGGCGTATTGATATACAATTCAGTTGTTGTGAGGCGGTCATAGGTGTGCGTATATCGTGGATTTAACAACGGCTTCAAATGTGGCTCAGCCAATCAGATTTTAGGACCGGATCTATCCGTTTTTTATAATATGAATTATTGCACTTATGATCACCAGGAGCTGCAGAGGGACATTGAGCAGCACACGGAGGGCGTGGCCTCAGTGCTGACGCTGTGTGACGTGTTACTGCATGACGCCGATGCGTGCGGCAGTGATGTAGAGAACGACTCCATCCAGCAGACCACCCGCAGCCTGGACCGCCGCTGGAGGAACATCTGCGCCATGTCCATGGAGAGGAGGATGAGGTGAGAAACCCCTCCCTTTCAGCTCCACCTTGCTGGTGTACAGTTAAAAACTGTGGCTCCTCTGTTGATGCACAGCATTAGTCATCTTCTAGCTCTTCATCGGTGGTCAGTTTATGACCACAGATCCACTCTAGCCTGGATATTTTGGGGTAAATGTATATTTACACTCCCCTCTCTCTGCTGCCCCCTGTAGGATTGAGGAGACGTGGCGTCTGTGGTCTAAGTTTCTGGAGGACTACTCTCGCTTTGAAGACTGGCTGACCACAGCGGAGCAGACAGCGGCTAACCCGGCCAGCACTGATGTCCTCTATACCTGTGCCAAAGAGGAACTCAAGAAGTTTGAGGTGAAGCAGCTCTACTATTTAGTTTTTTTGGCAGTGAATTTGAGGTCATATTGAATTTGACTGGTCTTAATGACGTGATGACCATGGTTTCAAAATCTGTGATTATGCCTACACATGTAGAAGTGCCTTACGTAGAAATCTCTGACCTCACAACACGATTCAATACAATTAATTAGGAAACTATCCAGTACATCACAATATCTCAAATTTCACAATTTGATTAGATTCTTTTTGAATATTTTGGTGTCCATATGTGACACCAAAGGAGCTACTTACACAGAAGTAGACAATAAAACAAGCATACCTTTAAAGGTAACCTGAGAATTTTATATTGGACAAAAAAGGTGTGCTTTTATTAAATATTATTATTATAATATATACAATTATTCCTTTGAAATCATTTCCAAGCTATATCATGCCATTTTGACTTTATTATGATGGTCCACTTTGAAAATGTCCACCTTGTCTGTAATATATATTTAAATAAATATCTTTGAAAGTCACCTTAAAGTTTATATAACCCTGATATTGCATATACACTGCAAAAAATATATCTTCACAAGAGAAATCAGCAGAAATCTAGTCGGTTGTACAAATATTATATATTATATTCAAAAACTTATTTTTAGGTGTTTTTACTTGTTTAAAGTAACTTTATTAAGTAAAATGATCTCACTATGTTGATAACTTTGCTGGTTTCAGGCATATTTGGAAAAATAAGCAAAATTATCTGCCAATATAGTGAGATGATTTTGCTTAACAAAATTACTTAAAACAAGTGAAAAACAATGTCAGGAAATAAGTTAAATAATCTTGTGATAAGCTTACAACAGTCTTAAAATGAGGAATATTAGATGTATCGACTAGATTTAGGACAATTCTACTTGCCAATAGACCATTTTTTGCAGTGTAAGTGGACAATAGCTTCAGTAGTTATAATAGAAACCAATGGGAAAGTACTTCAGCAACTGCCCATTGGCTTCTATTATAAGTATGATTTGATTCAACAGATTTTCTGTTTGGTTTTAAATACTGGACACTGCGTCAAAACGACTGTCTGTGGTAAATGACTTTAAGCTAAAGATCGAACAGGAAAAGTTTGAGTTTAAAAACGCTGGACGTGTGTCTTTAAGGATTTGAGTTATTATCTAACCGCCTAGCAACCACCTGGGATACAATACCAAATGCCTAGCAACACCATAGCAAACACCTTAACAACCACCTGGGATACCATAGCAAACGCCTAGCAACAAAATAGCAGGAAGAGGGAACCATTTAAGCTCTGTTCTGGGTTTCCTTCAGGAAATCCACATTTCTAGTTATTCATAGTGATCCATTCAAATATAGCAGGTCCACCATTCTGACAGTTATTCTTGTTTTTGACCCCCCCCAAAAAAAACACACACACACACACACACACACACACACACACACTGCAGGCGTTTCAGCGGCAGGTTCATGAGCGGCTCACGCAGCTGGAGCTGGTGAATAAACAGTACCGGCGTCTGGCCCGAGAGAACCGCACCGACACCTCCAACAAACTGAAGACGATGGTGAACGAGGGGAACCAGCGGTGGGACGCCCTGCAGAGGAGAGTGACCGCCGTGCTCCGCAGGCTAAAGGTCTGAACAGGGGCTTTCTTTACTTTTTCACCCACAAGGTTAAAGTATGACATCATATATGAAAATAACAAAAGACAAAAGTGTCACATAAATACAATAGTGGTATCAGCTATGTTTATAGATTACTGTACATCATACAGCATCAGTAACCACACAAGCTGGTCTATTAGAGAGTATTTAAAGGACACGTTTCATGGAAAACTGAATTTTCCTCACTTTTTTTTTTTTTGATGTAAAAGCTTGATGTTATCTTGATATCGCTGCTGTCGGAAGAAACTTAGTATCTCCATTTTTGTCATTTTTCAGTTTTTGACGTAATTTGAAAATGCCTGTTGACCTTTACACTGCATATAAATTTCATGAAGCTTGGACCAAAAGAAACGGCTCAAAATGACTTAGAAAAAAGTCTGGTTCCATTGACTTACATTGAAAGTAAAGTATGTTTTTTCCTTCTCCTGTAAAGTTACCATTTTGGAGATACGAGGTTTTCTTCATCGACAACAGCGATATATTGACCTATTCCATGCATTAGGATCTTGTTCCCAAACCTTACTAAGTCGTGGCCACGACTTAATTATCTCGTTCCCACACCTTACTACATTGTGGCCACGCATTAGGATCTTGTTCCCGAGTGTTAATAAGGCATGGCCACGCATTATTTTTAATATGGGATGTCACCAGCAGGGCTCCGTGTATACCAGTCTTATAGTCTGTTTAATTCTAAGGGATAAAGAAAGGGTGGAAAATGGCCGCATTTGTAATGTCAAAGGTCCCAAGTGGACCTCACAGGAGGAAAAAAGCAAAAGCAAGAGAAATGTAGGATGTAGGAATGTATTTATTAAATAAATGGACAGTGTGTGATATTGTAGGGCTGAATTAAGCTTCCATAGCTCCAGTGCAAAACTAAAGAAACAAACCTCAGACAGCAAACATGTCTTCAACGGCAAGCAGTACTTTGCTTTAGGATTATTTAAATATTAATATGTAAGTGTGTCAATATTTAAAAAGATAGAATATTCAGTTATTGCACTTGTCATTAGGACACAATAGTGAATATTGCACTGATGAGTATGATAACACACACTAATCACTAAACCACTGCATTAAAATTAGAAAATGGGAACATAATAAGATTTTTATTAGCTATTTTTAAAAAGCTTGTATGTGTATATATTATACCTTACGGAGTTGTACGCAGATGTCCAGCTTAAAGTTCACTCTGTTCTTCTCTGTGCAGCACTTCACGTCCCAGCGGGAGGACTTTGAGGGGACGCGGGAGGCCATCCTGGTATGGCTGACCGAGATGGACCTACAGCTTACTAACGTCGAGCACTTCTCTGAGAGCGACATCCACGACAAGATGAGGCAACTCAACGTCAGTATAAACCTTTATCCTCCTTTATGCTCCTCTACATCTACAACTCTTTCCTCTGTGTTCCTCTGTGTCACATATCGTCCTCATTGACGTAGCTTTAGGCTCAGCCTTTGTCTATACTGAGAAATCTGGATCATGTGACGTGATGTACAAAATAAAAGTCATCTAAAATTTATAATAAACTCATATTCAAGTGTTTTGATGATAAAAAAGGGATTTTTGAGTTGTGTGTTAAACTTAAATGTGAATCAGTATTCAATATAGCCTGTCCAACCTTCCAACCGTTGCTATGCGTCTGTGGGCGGAGCATGGCTAGATCAGCTAGATCAGGCTGGTCAGTCTGTTTAAGCGTACTTTCCTGCCCCTGCAGGCGTTTCAGCAGGAGATCACTCTGAACACCAATAAGATCGACGCTCTGATCGTGTTTGGGGAGAATCTGATCCAGAAGAGTTCTCCGCTGGACGCTGTGCTGATAGAGGACGAGCTGGAGGAGCTGCACTCTTACTGTCAGGAGGTGTTCGGCAGGGTGGCCCGATTTCACCACCGCCTCATCAACAGACGACCGGTCAGTCCAGTGCTCATAGACATACAGTGTTAGGACAAGTTACCACTTCCTCTACAAGGAACAAACCTAAATATGACATTGTTCTGCAAATTTTATATCTATTGGTTGAGTTTAACATGTTTATTAACTTATTTTCACTTAAAAAAACAACAATGTAATTTGACTGGGGCGCCCAAACCTTTAACTTTTAACAACTGTAAATTATAATAATATGTCCTATATATATTATCTCTGTATGTAAGTACCTACATGTATTAATACTATATCCCAAATACATTTTATAGAGGATTACTATTTAAAATATAGCCACTTTTCCTACGGTTGGAGTCCTTTTCCTGTATTATTTCAGTGTAAATACAATTTAATACTTTAAAAAATACAAATTACATTTACATTTGATTTACATTCTGTATGGACAGGTTTAAGTCTGCACTTCCAACCTTTTTGTTGTTTTTTCAATAGTTTTTTTATATATATATATTGTACTTATATATCACTGTTGTCGGAAGAAAACCTCGTATCTCCAAAATGGTAACTTTACAGGAGAAAGAAAAACTTACTTTATTTTTAATGTAAGTCAATGGAACCAGAATTTTTTCTAAGTCATTTTGGGTCATTTCTCTTGGTCTTATTTTTTTTTTTACTGTACTTACAAACACAAATGTGATATGGATTGAATAGTATAATAATAATAATAATTAATAATTAATAAACCATTATGTCATGCTTACTGGTGCCTTCTAAATGTTTACCTTTTATCTTCTCCCTGTCTTCTCTCAGGTCCTGGATGATGAGCATGATTTCTCCGACAGAGATACTGATGTGGAGGACTCGTTGGAGTTGGGGGCAGTGTGGGCAGAAGAAGAGGACGAGGTGGACGCTGGGATGTCCACCCCTGTCCAGCAGTCAGTGCATCACTTCTTCCCCCCTCAGCTGGAGCGATCAGGACGCGAGACGCCGGTCAGCGTGGACTCTATACCGCTCGAGTGGGATCACACTGTGGACGTGGGCGGATCTTCGTCGCCTGAGGACGAGGAAGAGGAGGAGGCCACGTACTACAGCGCACTCTCAGGTAGTTAAACTAAAGAATTATTAAACGATAAATAATAAACTGTAATGATCTGTTTAATCTAGTTAAAATAATCCGTCTCAATAGGTATTTTGGGTGTTATTTGGATGATGTTCATTGCTTATTATACATTTATTCTAGATGTTAATCCGCTTCTCTTGCAGATGTAGAGGTCACTGAGAGCTCTGAGTCCTTTATTAAAGCCACAGCTCAGGCTCTAAGCGCTGCAGCCGGTAGGCCGCTGCCTGCTGCATGCTCTGTTTACCCACATTGCTGTGTGCTCAGGTGTTTTTGGCATGAATAGACTACAACATGCATATTGTACCCTACCCATGTTACTAAGCTTGCGTTTGTGTCTTTTGTGTGTTTATTTTGTATTTACTTGAGTTCTTTAAACCCATAATCACCCTCCTGACTTTTATAGCCCATATTTCCATCACCCTGTGAGAAGGTGTTGTTTTATTACACTCAGAAGAAGGGCATGTGTTTTCTATGTGAATGGATGTTTTATGTTTTATGTGTGAACATCCCTTATGAATGCCCTATTATGAGCTTTGTTTTTGCACGACTGTTGGGCAGTTTTAACTAGAGATGGCACTGATTTGACACGTGGTATAAGAAGCGGAGCAGATAATTGATTAATTGACCCTTATTAGTCCCCCATCCTTGCAGTGAAACACCACATACACACTAGGGGCAGTGAACACACTTGCCCAGAGCAGTTGGGGGTTAGGTGCCTTGCTCAAGGGCACCTCAGTCACAGACTGTCAGCTCAGGGGATAGAACATGTGACCTTCCGGTCGGAAGGCTGGTTCCCTAACCTCCAGCCCACGACTGCCACATGCTGCAATCGCATGTGATTATGTAACAAATCAAGCTTTAAATATCGCAGAATTGCTTATAATGTAACTTAATATATAATATATAATTATATAATATATATGTATCTATAATATAATATATAATGCAACTAAAAAGTAGTTCGGTAGATAACAGCAGTGGCCACATGCAGCCCAACATTAGCATGAGAACATTTTGCACATTTACACATTTTTTGTGACATTTTTGTAAGTTTTACTAATTTCGTTTTTTTTAGAGCGTGATTGACACATTTTAGCTACAATTTTTTTTTCTTGTAGAGTAGTTGAGCAGGGTCAGCATGGTACATTTGGACATCCATCTTAAGTAAAGTGCTTCAGTTTTGCGTAGCTCATTTTAAAGGTTAGTTCTTAAAGAGAAAAAAAAAATATTGGATTTGTTTCAGTATCAGTCATCAGAAAAATAAAGTGGTATTGTGGTAAATAAAGTGGTAAATGAAGTGGTATTGTGCCTAGAACTGGGTATCAAAATGTAATCTTTTTTTATGGTACCATAGAATTACCTTAGTAAAAAACAATTCTATTTAGAGAATGTTCTCTATATATAATATTTTCATTGTTCAATTTTAAATATATTTTTATTTTAATGCAGTTATTTTTTTAAGATGACATAGCATTTTTCTTCTACTTTCAAGGGCGTAATTGTCTATTTCTTTCCTGAGTTTTACATATGGGTACATATAATAAGAAATGTGCCATAACTTTTGCACAGGCCACATTTGATCCATTTTTTTCTGTTGTTAAATGCATCAAATAAACAGTACATTAAACTCAAAGGATATGATCTTAGTAATTTTGTTACTACTTATGGACCTGGTTTGAAGCTAACTCACTCGTTCGTGTTTAGCAGGCAGAAGCACTCAAATAGCTTTAGTTGCTGCATGACAGCAGTGCTTCATGACACTGTGTGTTCTTGTATCTGTATCGGTAGTGAAAATTCTGGACAGTACACAGCCCAACCTGTGCCATCTCTAGTCTCGACCCCTCTGCATGATTCAGTTAGAAAACACAACAACAGAAACCTGGTTAAAGCCCTGTTTATCATGTTGCTGATCATATTTCTAACAGTAATCTATCTCTGGCCCCTCAGTAGGGAGGTCGATGACAGAGCCCCCCAGCTGGCATTCTCCGCCCCCATCGGAGAGGAAGCGGATTGTCCACAGCCTGACCTCGTCCCCTATAAACACCAGTGCTTCCTACCATCCGCAGGGCTATGTAAGGACCACTAAATCAGACACACACATACCCACAAACACAAAATCCCCAAAGCATACAGTGCTGTGCTGAAGTCGTCTGAGAAAATAAAAAGGACTTATAAAGCTGTAAGTGTTTATTTTATTAGGATGTCCAGTATTTACAGTTATCGGTCATTACTACATTATCTAATCTAGTCATTAATTAAATTAAACCAGGTTCTGCTGATAGAACTGAATAAACACCTGATGGCTGGAGAGCTGTGAGAAGTCAGGAACCAAACCTGTGTTCTTCTGACATATTAACTTTACCAAAAACAGTACATTCTTATATTTTACTATGTTTATGTTTATTTATATTTATTCTAATGTTACACACTGTAAGATACAGTCGTATGGAAAACTCAAAGTACACAATTTGTTGACCGGGGTACCCATACTTTTGCATACGACTGTAAATATTGTTTTTTTGGCTGCCTAAGACTTTAGCGCAGTGTTGTCGGCTGTTATCAGAAAGGTATTTGTTTTTTTTCCTATCCACTATGATCAGTCATTTCTTGCAAGTGTCACCTCCCAGTCGGTGTCAGGCTGAGCTGATGTCATACCGCTTGTGTGTGTGTGTGTGTGTGTGCAGGCTAAGCTGATGTCTGAGTGCACTGAGAGCATAGATAATGTGAAGCGGGTCAAGCTAATCCTGAGTGATGACGAGCTGCTGGAGGACCAGGGCCTGACCACACTGTCCACTGCAGACAAACAGACAGGTGAGATTCTCTCTCTGACACATACAGTGGGGTCCAAAGGTCTGAGATCAGTGGTGAAAATGCTTCTATTTTGCCTTCCTTTTTAATTTAACCCTTGTGTGGTGTTCAGGTCTGTGAGGTCCATTTTCATTGTTTACCAAAAAAAAAAGATGTGATATATTATTATTTCAACCCCAGATTCCTTGGTCTTTCCTCATTTTCTGTGAAGAACATATAAAATAACCCATTTTCAGTGTCTTCACCCCCCACACATTTATATTACACATGTGGTGTTGGCTGAACCCACAGGAGTAAAAGTGTGGAGGTGCTGTGTCCTTCACTCTGTTCTCCTCCTACATGGCCTGCTGTTAGTGTGTGTGTGTGTGTGTGTGTGTGTGTGTGTGAGGGTGGACAACATGGACAGGCTGCTGACTGGCTACAGCTGCTAAAGGAGGACCCTACACTGGACACTTGTGATATTTTAAACATCTGGTATTTTTACATAAATTGTTATGGCTGTATTGATTTAAAAAGACAGTAATGTGGTGGGTCCAGCAGACCACTGAGTAACAGACACATCAACACCACACAAGGGTTAATACAAAGTTTTAATTAGAAATGATATTGTCAGATTAACAGTCTGAGTGAAACATAGAATCGTTGAATGTTTACATGTGTGTGCCCTCAAGCTGGCATGGGCTCCATATGTTTGTGCAAAAGCCTCTGATGAGTAGATCAAATCCAGCTGAGAGTGATCTGAACACGAGCTTCACTGAAACGAATAAGACTAAAAAAAATGACATTTTTGTAGGCCTTAACCTGCTCAGATTCCTAGAAATAGTGCAGAAGTTCAAATATTTCTTCTTCATTTTAATCGTCACTACTTTTCTTTGTTTAACCCCTAAACATTCCAGGTTTATTTCATACAAAGCCTTATTACTCAGTAATTACAGGGCCTTCAATGCAAGCTAATGGAGCTATTCTTAGTTTATAGATGTGTGTAATAAAACTTCGCGCCCTTGCTCGTTAATGGAAGATTTTAAAACTTTCTGTAGTTTATTTTTCAGGTTTAGATGTAAAAATACCAGATTTTCATTGTGGTCTCAGACTTTTGGACTAACACACATTAGAGGTTAAGGGTTAGGGCTAGCCCGAACCTGACCGCAACATTGAGACTCAGCCCAGTCAGGCCCAACAGACCCGACCTGAACACGCTCAAATGCACTTACAGAGATGGATTATTGTAGACATGGTTTTAGGGAGCAATTCAATGCACCTATACACTGTACTACCTAGAGAGGGAGCGCAAGAGAGAAATTGCGTGAGACTACACCAAATTAATGCAAAAACAAATGCGTTAGGCCTGAATCCCGGGCCTAAGCATGGCCCGAAGCCTGGCCTGAAACCTGGGCCAAACTCAGCCAAACCCCTTATTTTGTGGGGCCCTATCAGGCTCAGTTCAGGTAGTAGACCTCTAACAAATAACACATCAGTAAAGTGAATTCAGTAAATAAAATAACTCCGACCATAACCACAAGGTAAAAAAGCATTTCTTCTCTTTTTTTATTGAATTCTAGAACATACATCTTTTCTAGTGAGAACCAATGAAACATTAATGTTTGTACACCTAAACATTTGCAGTAATTTTACTGTGACACTGTTCTTCTATTAGTGCAAAATTCTTTGTTTTATTCTCAGGATAAGTTCAATAATTAAGCAGTCTACATGTTTATGTATCTTAGTCTATATACTTTTTCTTTTCTTTTTTTTTAGTGCATAATTCTTCTTCTTATCTTCCTTTAAGGAGGACCACACCAAACTAAACTAGCACAGACAGATTGCATCCTGATCTAAAATTTGTAAAGCAGGAATGATGGCATGTATAGCCTTAAAGAGTTGACCTATGACTTTTGCGCTCCAGGTGTGATTGAGCGCTGGGAGCTGCTGCAGGCCCGGGAGTTTGCTGACCTGCAGCAAAGGCACAAGCTGACCTCTGACCTCAGAGAGGTCACGGCCTGGCTGGAGGGAGCACTGTCCGAACTGGAGGCGTTGCGGAGAACAGAAGTGTCCAGCAGCATCAGAGATATGGAGAGCAGCATCCACAAACTCAAGGTAAATATAATATAATATAATAGAGTAGTATGAGTGGTGTATAGTATGATATATATATATATATAATCAAATAAAAAGCATGTATTATAAAGTAAAGCAAAAAGGCTTGAGAATGAGTTTCCTTCTGTTTGGCCTTAAAGGGGAACTCCACCGATTTTTCAAAAAATCTGCGTAATTAAATGGTAAAGATGTAAACAAAGTTCCGAGTAGTTTGCTGCAAAATGCTTAATCATCATCAATGCTGTTCTAAGGCAAAACAGAAGAAAACTACTTTTTTCAGATGATGTTACCATCATTAACACGACATATAAAAACCTCAGAAGACTTGTGTAGGTTGGTGTTTTTTTAATAGTAAATAAAATGGTGAAATATATTCGTGTTGTGGACATCATAACACCTGGTTCCTGTCACCACCACTGTAAAGAAATCTGAGTCAGTATGCAGACATTTTAGAAAATTTGGTGGAATTCCCTTTTAAGTAGTTTATTGCTTTTATAACACAGAGGCAAAATACACAGATAGTGATAAATATTTTATTATTATCACAATGGTGTTTAATAACTTCTTGTTAATACTTCAGCTGATGTACATGTTCATACATATGAGCCTGAAAGTGTGTGTTCCTCCGCTCATCCAGCGTTTCTTCTGAAGTCAAGATTATTAATAAGGAGTTTGCCCCCCTTTCTGGGAAGGCTCTATTATTTGGGTCAGCCAGATTTCAGAGCCTGACCTGTTTTATGTAGCAGATTCATCCTGCTGATTGTGTTTTGATTGTATTGTTTTCCATCTAGGAGATGCAGAGGACGTTCAGCATCTACAAGGCTCTGATGATCGGCATGAACCTGAGTGGGCAGGACATCCAGCGAGGAGAGAGGGCGGAGCTTCAGGAGCTGAGGGAGGGGCTGCAGGTGGTCAATCAGAAATGGACTCATGCCTGCGCTGCTCTGGATGGCTGGGAATACCAGCTGCATCATGTGCTCCTGCAGTGTCAGGTGAGGCAAGCGATCAGATAGTCCACAGGTTAAACATCATTATGTTTCCATGACTACAGTATCAGTCAGAGGTTTGAATGTGTGTCTTTTTTATATCTAAAAGTGATTTTCATCTAAAAGCTAATGCTTAAATGTTTGAAACCTATTTCTAAATAGTGAAGTTGATGTTTATGTATGAATTTATTTCCCAAACTTTTACGTTTAAGAACATTTGTGCATCTTATTTAAGTGCACTGGAAAGGCATCTCAGACGGCGCCTCATGAAGCTGCTTGAAATTAGCTCAGCAGGACTTACTCTGTGTGTCCAGAGTGACTCAGTAATCCAGTCCAGAAAACCACCATTCAGATCCTGCATTTACATTCATTTAAATGCTCTATTTAAATGCCTGCACGGCACATGTTCGGTCTGAAACTGTTCCTCGTGTTTCCAACAGTCCTCTGATTGACTCAGACTCTGAGTTTAGTGCTGATAGTCAGAAATTTACATCTGAATACACAAAAAGGTGCAGTCAGGCTTATAAAAATGAGGCTAAAAACCAGCCATGCAGTGTGTGTGCGTGCTTCTGAGCTGAGGGTCGGAAAAAACGCAACAAAAGGTGACAAAATGCAGTGTCCCAATTCACTAAACTTCCCCTCTTTCCCTCAAAATAACAGAAACAGGAACTAAAACACATTTGAACAGACAAATATCAATAACAATGACAAATATTATTATAAAACTGATCATATTTAGCTCTGTCTTTGAGTTTACATGCTACTCAATTTGTAATTAAAAATAAAGGCTGTCTTGCTGTGTATCAGAGTTTTTAGCGCTCAGCAAGAATCCAAGAGGACAGAACATCAATAAAAACATGTCCGCCTTATGCTAATTGTTTATTTTCACTCAATAATGACCAATAAAATGAATTACTATCAAAATTAGTGCACTTTCAGCTCACAGACACTCCAGACTAACATTTTTTTAAAAGATATCTGAGGTGCAGCTTGTTTTCAAGATCTCTGTAAGCAACAAAATACAAAATTTTGCAGGCACTAGATCAATTTTGGATCAAAAAATAGCTAAATTCATAAAGATATTAAATTTCTGTTAGAATTTACATGTCAAATAGTGGCATATCTGAGCAGCCCAGGGTCTCCTGATGTTTACAAGATATGGCATGTGTGACTGTCACGTGTAAATACTTTATAATTGCAGTTGTAATTGTAATTGACCCAAAATAATTCTAGGGTTCTGAGGATTAAGGAAAGTCTTTATGATTAGGTGGTTTTTCAATTAGAATCATTTCAGTGTCATTTTTAAAAGAAGCTGCGTTTGTGTGGGTTTTAAAACAATATGTGTGGTATGTTTTGACCTCAGGAGTTCCATGAGACGCTGCACTCACTGCTGCTGTGGTTGGCTCGGGCTGAGAGCCAGCGCTACATGGTCAACATCCATGACCGCAACGTCGACGTCAACGTACTGCAGGAGCACAGAGACACTCTAAAGGTAGGAGAGTGTGCTTGTGTCACAGTGATTCATCACAGTGATTCACTTCGCTTACTGTTCTTTTGGAAATGATTCTATAGCGTTTCTTGAAATCTCAAATTTGGCCACCATTCGATTTGACGCTTCTGGTCATTTTCAGTTAACCTAAATAGACAAGTTTTACTGAGACAAATGTAGCTGCTTACCTAGTATAGAAATATAATAAGTAAAAAACAAGCTGTTTATTTTTTTTTGTTTGTTTGTTTTTTTTTACATTTAAAAATTGGATTATTTACAACTGAGAATTGGACATTTGTGAACTTTACAGCTTCGGAAATCTAGTATGATTAACCCTTGTGTGGTGCTGATGTGTTTGGTACTCTGTTGGACCCACCACATTATTGTTTTTATTAAATCAATACAGCCATAACAGCAGCTGTAGCCAGTCAGCAGCCTGTCCATATTGTCCAACCTCACACACACACACACACACACACACACACACACACACACTAAAAGCAGGCCATGTAGGAGGAGAACAGAGTGTTGTCAGCCCAACACCACATGTGTAATATAAACGTGTGGGGGGTGAACAGAGTGAAGACACTGAAAATGGGTTATTTTATATGTTCTTCACAGAAAATGAGAAAAGACCAAAGAATCTGAGGTTGAAATAATAATAAATCACATCATTTTTTCTTTTGGTAAACATTGAAAATGGGTCCCACAGACCTGAACACCACACCAGGGTTAAAGGAACAAGACCAGCGATGCAGTGCTTTTACCTGTGTGTGTGTGTGTGTGTGTGTGTGTAGGCTCTCCAGGAGGAGCTGCGAGGTCGGGAGCAGGAGGTTCTCTCTCTGCAGGAACTCTCCACTCACATCCTGCAGCTGGACCAAGGCGAGGACAGCCTGGAGGCTAAAGAGAAGGTGCACGTCATCAGCAACAAGCTCCGCCTCCTCCTCCGACAGGTGGCCCATGACCTGAGCTTGCTGCAGGGCTAGACTGGTACGTGTAGGTCTCTCACACGTTCAGTGGTCAGGAAGATATTTTTACAGTAGGCATACCCTCAATCAATCAATCAATCAATCAATCAATCAATCAATCAATCAATCAACCTTTATTTAACCTCAGACAACATTGAGGGTGACCCTCATTTACAGTGCTGGTGAGCTGATACAGGAAAAAGGGATTTATAATTTGTAAGTACATTTCAAAAAATAAAAATTATTTAATAATAAAAATGACTCAAATCCGATACGTATAAAAAAAGGAACCTAAAATGACTGAAATAATAATAAAGTAATCATAATTAAAACAAGAATGAGAATATGAATAATAATAAATAATTAATAAATAACTAAAATAATGAAATAGGACAATAATAGTGGAAATCAAGTAAAACAGTTGCAGAGTGGAGGTGGTTAGAAAATAAAAGTTTAAAATGGTCGAGTGACACCAGCGAGCTGAGCTCCTCGTCCAGCAAGCAAAAGGCTTTTATTATTAACTGATATCATCTCTAAATAGCCTAAATCGATTCATTTTTTCTGGCATTACATTTTGAATCATGGTCTGAGTTTGTGAGATTTTAGGTCATTGAACACAGCATTGTATGAGCCTACATTGTTAATCTGAGCACTGTGAGTCATCGGTTAAGGCTGCCAAAACTAGCAACATGTTTTAGTATTTTATTAAAATTCCAACAGTGATTCCTAACTTTAGAATTGTGCTTCTAAACTTTTGAGCACTGTGGTCCTCACTATATTTCAGGTCCCCATAAAACGAGTACACAAAAGTGTAAATGTCCCAACTGTGCAATGAAAACAAACACACACATGCTGTCATATTCAACACATCACATTTGTTTACAGTCCTATCACAAACACATCACTGAGGTCGGAAACAAACCTCGTATCTCCAAAAAGGCAACTTTACAGGAGAAAGAAAAACATTCTCAACTTTTAATAGAAGTAAATGGAGAAATATTTTTTTGGACCTTTTTTCTGTTGGTCATGAAACTTTGACACCACAAAAAAGCCAACTGCCTTTTTCAAATGATGTCAAAAAATAAAAAACGATAAAATTGGATTCTTCCTGTGTTGCAGGATTATGAAGGCTCCTCAGTAGACGGTTGACTGGACGAGCGCTGCAGGCCTCCCGGCTCTATTAGACAAGGTACAGCACAGCATCGTCCCGTAAAGAGCTGCTCCCATTTCTCTTTGCTTCTGTTGAGTTCAGTGCATCCGCAAAATGCTGACTTACTTCTCCTCCTCTTCGTTTCCTCCAGGAGTCGAGGGCTGCTGAACAGAGACCTCCTGAACGTGCTAAGTATGTACTGAGAGGGTGTAAGTGTGTCTGTGTGATGCACAACTGACTAGAACACACTGTGTTGTAGTGAAGTTTACACACAGAGAGAACTGGGTCAGAGCAGACGTGATAGAAATCAAATGGAGAGATAGTTCCAAGCATTTGCTGCTTAACTTTCACACAGACAAAGATGGAACGGCCTTGTTTTTTCTAATGTTATGTCCGTTCATTGCTAGTGTAAAGATGGAGTACACATAGCTACTGGTGTACACTTTGTGTTAGCCATCCTCTAGCCCAGTTTCTGACCACAGAGCCCCTCTTGGCTCGAAAATTTTAAGAGGTTGTCCACTCTTAACATAGCAGTGACACTGGCGTGTATACAACCCCAGTAACAGCGCTGAGTCTGATACACTTGTCCCAGTTTCACACTCACTACCATGCAACCCTGTGGTCAGAAACTAGCCAACGATGAATGGTGTAAATGCAGACTGACATGGTGGTGGTGTGTTAGTGTGTGTTGTGCTGGTCTGAGTGGATCAGACACAGCAGTGCTGCTGGAGTTTTTAAACACCTCAGTGTCACTGCTGGACTGAGAATAGTCTACCAACCAAAAATATCCAGCCTACAGTGTCCTGTGGGCAGCGTCCTGTGACCACTGATGAAGGACTAGAGGATGACCAACACAAACTGTGCAGCAGCAGATGAGCTATCGTCTCTGACTTTACATCTACAAGGTGGACTGACAAGGTTGGAGTGTCTAATAGAGTGGACAGTGAGTGGACACAGTGTTTAAAAACTCCAGCAGCACTGCTGTGTCTGATCCACTCAGACCAGCCCAACACACACTAACACACCACCACCACGTCAGTGTTACTGCAGTGCTGAGAATGATCCACCACCCAAATAGTACCTGCTCTGTGAGGGTCCATGGGGGTCCTGACCACTGAAGAACAGGGTAAAAGGGGGCCAACAAAGTATGCAGAGAAACAGATGGACTACAGTCTGTAACTGTAGAACTACAAAGTGCACCTATACAGTAAGTGGAGCTGATAAAATGGACAATGAGTGTAGAAACAAGGAGGTGGTCAGAATGTTATGCCTGATTGGTGTAACTGACTGATCTACCCTTTATGCATGAGGCGAAACTTTACCTATAGGAGCCATATCGTCCTCTACACTGCCCGCAGTGCAGGGGTGGTGAACTCCAGTCCTGGAGGACCAGATGGTGATTTGGCTACTAAAAAGCAGTTAATTAAGAGCAGGTAAATACTCAAACTGTGCTGACCTCTCTTCAGCGCCACAACGACCTTGCAGCTGTTCTGCGGCTGTGCAAGCAGGTTTGGGTCTGAAACGGGTTCCAAATTTAGTAGTACCGGTCAGGCTTTGTCTGGTTTGCTCTGAAAGTAGTAGATATGGATCAGGCTGAAGCTTCAATCTCACATTAGACACAAACAGGACTCGTAAAATCTGCTGATTACACTGTACTGCCCAAAACCTCTTTCTTAACCAAACACTCTTTCTGTCTATCCCCATCCAGGTCAGAGAAGATGGAGGTGTCCCCCAGCAGACCTTTCCTGTACCGGGTGCTGCGGGCGGCGATCCCCCTGCACTTGCTCTTCCTGCTGCTGCTGGTGCTGGCCTGCCTGGTGCCTCTGTCTGAGGACGACTACAGCTGCGCTCTCTCCAACAACTTTGCCCGCTCCTTCTACCCCATGCTGCGCTACACCAACGGACCTCCTCCTACATGAGAACCAAAACACCTCCCTTTACTGCTACTGAATGGATTCGTCCATCAATACTGGAGACAGGAAGAGGAAAGTACCAAGTACTCTCAAAAAGGAGGTTCTGATTTCAGACCACCTTCTACCAAATATCTCCAGTCCTGGAATCTTCGGCTTTGTTTATTTAACGTTGATGGACTTTTCTGGGTTCCAGCATTCAGACTCTCCAAAGGCTGTGACAGTCATAGTTTGGGGATTTTTCCTAAACTCTCCACGCAAAAGAAGAAGAGTTAATGTTAAATGGTCAGTATTGGATACCATAACAACAAAGGCTAGCACAATGCTACAAGAGAAGATTTTAAGCTACTGTTAAGTCACAGATGACTCACCGAACCAGCACAGTCCCAGAACACGTCATTGTTTATAACTTTTTAAAGAAATATCTGCAGCACCGGACTCACTGGAAAGCTGGACGGTCCATTTTTGTACATATCGATCGGTTGCATTGTGTTGTTTGACCTAGAGACTCGTACTCTGTGTGGAATTATGAAGTTTTTTTTTTTAATCTGTAGCAATTTCAACTGCCGTACGGCTGGACACAGCCATGAAGAGAGGGAATAAGAGGTGAGGACGAGTGCAGATATGATACGTTCAGGCCTTATCCTCTTATTTCAGGCTGGGCGCCACGTTTTCAGTTTGTGCGTCAGAGTTTAAATCATGTAAATCTACTCACTGGTGCAAGACTAAGTCTAAGTTATTATTAATAGTTATTATATCAGAAAAATGGTACGTTATTGATTGTGTTTTTTTTTTTAGATGTGAACCACCTCATGAACCTGGTTTGTAACTCACTCACTCACATTTAGCAGGCTGAGGATTCTCCTCAAGGGGGCACTAGTAGCTCTTGGTGCCTCATAAAAGTGGTGCATTGCACCTGTGACACTTTGTGCCCTTGTTCTATGAGCTGTGTTTATGTTCTCACTTGGTTTTCCTGCGACCAGTTCAGTCCAGACGTTAGTTACGGAAGTTTTTCTCCCGCTGGCCTCACAGCCAGGTCACAGTGAACTGCATGAATGTACTTGGGTATAAATATTTATGCCAAAAAAGAGAATGTATGCATTGCTCCCAGAGTAGGACTGTTCCTAATAACACAGCAGGATTTAGCGCCCTAAAAGAAGTAAAAAAGCGCAAAAAATAGTTTGCAAAATGGGATAATTTGGGCATGCAGTTAGCACAATGCTAACAGTTTAGGTATTAGCTTCCATTACTTCTCTGGTGTGAAGCTAAGGAAGCAGAACTATTTCACTGAAGGTTCAAAGAAGTGCCAGCAGCAAAAATTCAGACAGATTAAATGGTCTGTGGACGACTGAAATAGGTCCATCTTATGAGCGAAATGACTTATGAAGTTACAGAAAGGTTGGCGCTAGCTAAAAACATATTTATTTATTTATTTATTAATTGACATCGCCTCCTGTCAACGCGTTTGAGCGAGCCATGCACTGCCAACTAGAGCCATAGTACAGACAACGAGCATTAAGAATAAGAGTGTGTACAGTTTGTGTTTTATTTTTATGTATTTATGGGATGATGTATAGTTAAAAGCCAATTTTTACTTATACATAAATAAATAAACAAATAAATAAAGCTGTTTGCCAAGAGAATGCTACTGGACATGTTTTTTTATTATTATTTTATATTTATTTTCTACTTCCAACAGCCTGCGTTTTTGGTTTAACAGTCTCAAGGGATCGTTTACAAGAGCAAAAAAAAAATCTAACATGTTATATCTGACATTTCTCATTTTGAGATGTTGTAAGAAAATAATAAGATTATTCAACTTATTTCTGGTGATTTTTACTATAATGATTTACTATAATGATGTGTCTTATTCTATTGGCAGATCATTAAGTAACCAGTTAAATACGCTTGTTCTTACAACAATCTCAAATTGAGAAATCTTTTATACATATCAACAAAATTTAAGATAATTACCCTACCAAGGTAGTGTTTTTTTGCAGCATGCACTGACCGCACCGCTGTCCAAATGGAAAACAATGAAACACTCAGGCAGGTTCAGTCTTGAGAACCTCATGCTTTCCTGCACTTCTGTACACCGTGTTACGGACGTCAGAGTTTGCAGCTTTTCTTCCCGGTTTTTCAGCAGTATTTAGACAGAATGCACATTAATACAAATCACAGAACACTTTATGAAAACATTACAGCCTGGAGACACTCAGAGACTCATTCACCGAGATTCATGTTCAGAGTTCAAAGGGGTTCAAAAACTGCAAAAGCAAATGCAGAAGCATTTGTGCGATTCTACACTCTTAAAAAAGATCCAAGGGTTCTTTAGTAAACAATGGTTCTATATAGAACCATTCGTCTGCTTAAATGGCTCTATACATGAACTCACAAAAAAGTACACAAAGTTCATTTATTACGTAAAAATCAAGTATATTAAGTGACTATTAAGTAAAGTTCTAGTATATTTCCCATATATCTTTATGCAGTAAGTATACTAATATCAGTGCACTAGTACTGGTCACCCGGCCGGGGAATCAAACCCAGCTGTGAGGCAACAGTGTGGCACCATGCTACTTTATACACCGTTACTGTGTACTTACTTACACTTAAGTACATCTCAATCAACAGATGAAGTCCAAGTGTAGACTTTTCTGCATACTTAAGTATTTTTGTGTTTAGTGTATCTCTGATAAGTACATAAAAGTATACTGAAAGCATAATTACTCATTTTAGTTTCAAAGAAGTATAATAATAGCACACTTGAATAAACTTCTTTTTTATGGTGAAAAGGTTCTTCAGATATGGTTCTATGTAGCACCAAAAAGGGTTCTGCTATGATTATGATGTCAAGCTTGTGACAACAGAAGAATCCCTGATGCTATATAGAATCATATACAACACATTCTCCATCAATCTGAAGAACATTTTCACCATGAAAAGAAACATTTAGGCATTTAAATGGTTCTCTGAGTGTTTGTTTTGTCTTTACTAAAGAACCTTTGAAGAACCATGTTTTTTTAAGAGTGTAGTTGATATTTTATTCTTCTCTTTGCCACTTTGGCTCAGTGGTTTTGTCGTATTTGGTCGTATCAGTGATTTACTGCGCGTTGGCGTGTTGTAGGGGTGACACCCAAACTGACCGATCCATCAGGTGGTGTTTAAAGCTACCAGCTAGAGTGACGTAGTTAAGGTTGTAACCTGCACCACTAGCAACTACAGCAATGAGTGATTTATCACTGCTGTCGGAACAAAACCTCGTATCTCCAAAAGAGGGAACTTTACAGGACAAAGAAAAACGTTCTCAACTTTTAATGGAAGTGAATGGAGAAATATATTTCTCCAAGTAATTTTGAACCATTTCCGTCGGTCTGTTCATCATGAAATTTTGACACAACATAAAGGCCAACTGCCTTTTTCAAATTATGTCAAAAAATGAAAAACAACAAAAATGGAGAATCGAGGTTTTGTCCTGACAGCAGCAACATGTTTCTATATATACTGACATAACATCAGAAACACAAAGTCCAAATCAGCAAAGACCTCTCACACACACAGAATAGACATTTGACATAAAGAGTGAACTCCAGAATTAAGACTGTCACAAAAACTGAGCTGTGCGCTAAAATTTCTCATGAAGCTTTTGCCAATGATTTGTAAAAAAAAAAAAGAACAAATTGGTGGGCGGAGCATGGATACGACAATTAGATGAATCTCCAAAATACTGGCCCTTATTCATCAAAGATGTGCCGAAATGAGATCATGCAGATTTCACTGACAGGTGTGTTAATCTCCAATTCCACCTTTGGCGTATCCATACATTCCGAATCACATCTGGCAGAAGTGCGTAAAAAAAATTCAGCTTTATATCTGAACTGCCTGAAAAATGGCTGATTTCCAGTTAAACAATCACAATTTTTGTCAATAACATGAATACCAATAACTACACACAGCAATCCCAGCACTGAGGTGGATGTGTGTGTTCGATATGTATATACTGATATACACAACTGCTGCGATTTTCATTTGAAGACTTTTGCTTTAAACCAGTGTGTCTCAACCCTGGTCCTGGAGGCCCACTGCCCTTCACCCTGCACTCCCAACATGCCTGATTCAACTCATCAGCTCTTCAACAGCCCATTTGGCCTGGGAAAAGCTCTAAAATGTGCAGGACAGTGGCCATTTAACTACTGATAGAGTAAATAAGTACCTCCATTTAACACATAACATAGCTTTCCTAGTACAGTAGAAGCTCATATACTGCATTTTGTTATTTTAAATAGTAGTTTTTATTGAAGTTGTGATCAGAAGAGGGGCCAGTGCACTTCCTGCTTGACCCCCAAACTCCACCCCATGACGACAACCATCGGCTCATGAGCCTGCTGAATCGAAGCGTTTGAATGAATTAGGACATGCTATGTGTAAATCATATGTATGTGAGGGCAAATCAGGGTGTCTGTTACAAATTATATGCAAATAAGGTATCTGTGTGCAGATGCTTGTTCAGTTGAGCCCATATCCGCATTTGTTTTGACGCTGACATGGAGCAGTTCGGTTCAGGGTGGTCAAATCTGTGCTACTTTCTACACCGCTGTGATGAATAAGGGCCAGTGAGTCATCGTATCGGAGTAAGATCAGCAGACTGAGTCCAGGCCTTAAACATTCACGAGCTCAAAACAGCCACTGAAAAGTCTTTACACACAAAAAGTATACAAAATACAAAGCTATGAAAAGTATGCACATCTTTTCACATTCGGAGAGCAACTTCACTTCATTGCATATGCTAATCAGGCAATACAGAGTATTTGCAGACAACAGGTCAGTGGTTGCACGGACAGCTGTATCATGAGCACAGTTTTCATTTGGTATTGAGATTTCGTACCTTGGCATTCCTATTTTTTGTTGCTCATCGTTCACAATTTCACTAAAACATTGTCCAAAAATCTGCAGAAATGTGCGTTTAGCTCGAAAATGTGTAGCAACTCTGGCACACGGACGGTTTTACATTCAGACAAGGTCACACTCGACAGCTGCTGCGCATGTAAGATGTACAGTACAAGTCACAGGTTTAGACACATTAAATTGAAATTTAAAAAATTGTATCTGTAATTTTAAAAATCTATTGAAAGGTTTAAGCTTCAACATTTACGCTTGAATTTTTTTCTACATCGTTTAGATTTACGACTGTGTTGCTCTATGCATGTTACGTCATACTTTTGATGTTCATTATTATCCTTTAACATAATAAAATAATAAGGAGGACCCATCATGAGTCGATGTGTCAAAATGTTTGAATGGTACTGTAATTGACGGTTTTCTGTAAATTATGGGTTTCTTTACCGTCATACCCACACTGAAAAAACAAAGGAAACAAAGAGTTGCATTCTTGGATTTTACTTCTGAAATTCCTAAACTTTTGCAAATGTAAAATTCTGATTTCTTATTTGCAAGTTCTGAATTTCAGGAATTAAGCGTAAAATTTCTGCATTTCTGGGCAGTTCTGGATTTTTAAAAACAGCATAGTTTTAATTTTAGCTCACAGTTCTGAGAAGTTACACATTTTCAGAGAAATTCCTGAAATTCTGGGCATTTCTGAATGTCTAAAACGTCTGAAATTCTGTGCAATCCGAGTTAGTGCATTTCCAAAATTCATAACTTCTGCATGATCTGAATGTCTGAACGTTTCAAATTCTGCACAATTTGAATTTCCCGAACTTCTGAAATTCTGCACAAATTGTCAAATTCTGGAAATCTCATTTTCTCAGATCCATTCGGTCACTTCTCCCTCAGATGGCCCTTGTAGCAAACTTCTCTCATCTGCAAACGAACCTTAAGGTGGTCAGCGGGGTTCCTCAAAGTCAAAGTGAAGGGGTCAGGTTGAGTGGACATGCTGAGAGGCTAATAAAACGGGGACGACGTAGTGCAAAGCTGATTTACAACATGAGGGTCTTTTCTGTGGCCTCGTACAGTGTCTGAGATTTGTATGGATTTGGGTCAGCCCTGGCCATGCTGCTCCTCCACACTCTGCACGAGGCGCTGGGCTACTGGACTCTGGAGCTCGCGGGCTGGGTTTGTGTCCACTGGAGAGGTGAATCGAGGGTCAGCGCACTGGGCTGGCATACGGCCGCTGTGAGCTGTGTTAGCGTCCAGCATCTCCAGCAGCAGATCGTACAGCAGAACCACGTTCTTCCTCTTCATGTTGGAAAGGTGCTCCATGCCTTTGTTGCTACAGATGAGAGGAGAAAAGCTTTCATGGACCCAAATCTAATAATAATACTTCTCAAATGTATTAGTATAACTACAGTACCGTACAAAAGTCTGAGAAAGTGAGATGTAAAGCTATTTTTCTGGTATCAATGTGTAATAATAATAATAATAATAATAATAAAATAAATAACAACAACAACAACAACAACAGCAATGACGAAACAGAAAAAGAAAAAAATCATGTATATATATATATTATATATATATATATATATATATATATATATATATATATATATATATCATAAGTACCTACAGAAATACTGAGATGTCACTGTGTAAATATGCAAAAAATTATCTACTATGTCTTTTTGTTTTCTGAGGTTAAGATTAGGGTCAGGTTTAGACTTAATACAGTGTTGCTTATAGATGTAATATAGACTACATATGGTACATATTAAATTTTTGCAAGTATCTATTAGCAACATAATGTCCCATAATAATATATATTTAAGTATCCATATGCATCTATATGTAATCTATATGCAGCAAGCCTAAGTCTAAACCTGACCCTAATCTTAACCTCAGGAACCAAAAAGAAAAAGTTCTGATCTCTTAGTTTTTTGGGGGCTTTTCTACACTTTAGAAAGTCAGGACCACTTTGCTGGTCTGGAGTGTTGGAACTTTTCCCCAGTTTTAATACAAAGTATGAATATTTTTGTCTCCAAAATGTATGAAAACAAGTACAAGTACACACACACACACACGTTACAATACCTGAGATGGCGAACGTGTGACAGCAGCATTAGCAGGTGCGCGAGGCGGGCAGACTGCTGCTGCATGGACAGGCCTGTTCTGGAGATGGCCCAGACCAGAGCGTCTGTCACTGAGTCCAGCAGCCGCAGCAGCTTAGATCTGCTCTCCAGCTCTGCGTCCCTCTCCGCTGAGGTCATGTCTGTGGAAAACACACACACTGTGATATTTTGCCATGTGCTGGACGTCTGCATTCTTTTATAACACTGGAGGGCAGATCAGGCAGGACAGCAGCTACACCAGCCTTTCGGAAAACATTCAGTGAGAAAACAATCCAACATGCTGCTTTCAGTTTATTGTTCTGTCACTTTTTCCGATGTTCAACCAGACACCCAGTTTACTCACTCTTAAATATTAAAATCACAAGCTTTTTACAGTGCAGCTGTGATTTTTCAATGAAATCACTGAGTGTGTTTACATGACTCAATATTCCGATCATAATCAGATTTCTGCAGTTATCTGATTATTCAAACGGTCATGTAAACAGCAAATTCTGATTTCTTAGATCAGAGTAAGGTGTAGAAATCCGAGCTAAAAATCCAAAAATTCTAATCTATTAAAATCCAAAGCTAGAAAACATATTATACTATTACGAACAAAAAAATTTAAGCACACATAATAAATGAAATATAATAAATGACATACGTATATAAAGTTCGACCACCCTGGCCAAATTCAATATTTTGCTGCTTTTTGACGTGTAAAATGTTGATTCTTTTTGACAAAAATCTAATAATTAATCTGATTAAGAAATCTGATAAAGAAGCTGGATTTTAGCTCAGTAATCAGATTTCTCAGTGCAGGTAAACTCTTACTCTGATTTCTTTCGGTTTCTAAGTCTGTGCATGTGCGAAAACTGACCGCAGTACTGGAAATTAACGAGCAGTGTCGCCGCGAGATGCAGCACAAAACGTTTGACACTGAAACTCAAAATATAAAATGAAAGTGAAACTGAAAATTTAAATATTCTTCATCTTCTAGATGATGTATGTTCATATTTTCAGGTAAAGTAGCGTTTTTTTTTTTTTTTAAAAAGCTGTGCCATGAAGTTGACATTACGTTTGTCACGTCTTCTTCTGTGAGTTTATTGGCTGATTGCAAAGCAGAAATCTGATTACTGTCTGACTCATTGAGAGTTTCCGCTTTACCTCATTACTCAAATACATGTAAACGCCTTGATTGGATTACTGACAAAATCTGATCTTCTGCAGTTATCAATGATTAAGTGCATGTAAATGCAACAGGTGTATGACCCATGACGTTGAAAGCAAGCTGTCAGTTCGTATGAATTATTTCTGACTCGCAGCTCATTGACACATTTCTGTGGAAAGTGCAGATTTTAAACTTTCAATTCATACCACTTTTGCATTTAATTAGAAGAGGAGATTCCCCCCTCCCCCCCCCCACCCCCCGGGGCACTCAGACGTACTGGAGTTGAGCAGGATGAGGGCTTTGAGGCAGACATACTCCTCCTTCTGCAGCTTCAGCTCTCTGAGCCTGGAGGAGCCGGCCAGCAGCATGTCAAAGATCTCCATAATGCCCTCCACACAACTCCCCTCTTCCCTGAGAGAGAGGGGGGGCATGGGGGGAGAGAATGAGAATGAGTGAGTGAGATAGACAGAGAATAAGAGAGAGAGAGAGAGAGAGAGAGAGCACGGGGAGATAAGGAGAATGAGTGAGTGAGATAGACAGAATGAGAGAGAGAGAGAGAGAGAGCACGGGGAGAGAATGAGAATGAGTGAATGAGATAGACAGAGAATGAGAGAGAGAGAGAGAGAAAGAGGGTACGGGGGAGAGGATGAAAATGAGTGAGTGAGATAGAGAATGAGAGAGAGAGAGAGAGAGGGCACGGGGGGAGAGAATGAGAATGAGTGAGTGAGATAGAGAATGAGAGAGAGAGAGAGAGAGAGAGAGAGAGAGAGGGCACAGGGGGAGAGAAAGAGAATGAGTGAGTGAGATAGACAGAGAATGAGAGAGAGAGAGAGAGAGAGAGAGGGCACGGGGGAGAGAAAGAGAATGAGTGAGTGAGATAGAGAATGAGAGAGAAAGAGAGAGAGAGAGAGAGAGAGAGAGAGAGAGAGAGGGCACAGGGGGAGAGAAAGAGAATGAGTGAGTGAGATAGACAGAGAATGAGAGAGAGAGAGAGAGAGAGAGAGAGAGAAGAGAGAATTTTCCACATGCACATGTCACAGCACTGTGTTTATTGTTTTAATTCTGTTAATTAAAACTGTTTTTGAATATCCACCAATAGGATTTAAACCCCAAACTAGAAATCATATTTTATCATTATGAATAAAAAATGAAAAGCACACAAACAATAAACTGGCCAAATTCAATATTTTGCTGCTTTTTGAAGTGAAAAGAAGTAAACACGCCCTCCTCAGCAAACTACTTACAAAAAGAACATGTATAAAATAGTAATTGTGGTATGTGCAAAAGTTTGGGCACCCTACTAAGGCAGATAACTTATCGAGAAAGTACTATAAAAGTAAACATAAAATATAAATTATATAATCAATATCATACAATTATATAAAATGTATAGCAAAATAATATAAATGAAAATAAAATTATAGTATATTATTTTTTAAGTAATAACTTTTTGGTGCCCACCAAAAAATGTAATAATGAATACTGAAAATCTAAAATCTAGTATAGAGCACATAGTCCTAGTCTACACTGTATAAGGTATCACGGTATAAACCAACAGGAGGCACTGTGCTGCAGTGGACTGGGTTCGATTCCCCAGCCGGGCGCCAGGGTCCTTCTCTGAGTGTGCATATTCTCCCCACGTCCCACAGTCCATAGACATACAGTCAGGCCAACTGGAGACACTAAATTGACCCTAGGTGTGAATGTGTATGTCCGTGTGTCTGCCCTGTAATGGACTGGTGACCTGTCCAGTGTGTTTCCTGCCTTCCTCCCAATGACCGCTGGGATAGGCTTAAGCAACCCAGGAGGAGATGCGGCTTTTTAGATTAAATAAACCCTCAACTGACTCTCAGTAACAGGTCAAAAACATATGAGGGTTAGGATTAGGTTTTAGGTTGAGGTTGAGGTTAGGATTAGGATTAGGACCAGGGTTAGGATTAGGATTAAGTTTTGGGTTGAGGTTGAGGTCAGGTTTAGGATTAGGGCCAGGGTGAGGGTTAGGATTAGGTTTTGGGTTGAGGTTGAGGTCAGGTTTAGGATTAGGGCCAGGGTGAGGGTTAGGTTTTGGGTTGAGGTTGAGGTTAGGGTTAGGATTAGGGCCATGGTTAGGATTAGGTTTTGGGTTGAGGTTGAGGTCAGGTTTAGGATTAGGGCCAGGGTGAGGGTTAGGATTAGGTTTTGGGTTGAGGTTAAGGTCAGGTTTAGGATTAGGGCCAGGGTGAGGGTTAGGTGTTGGGTAAGGTTGGTAAGGTTAGGTTTTGCGTAATGGAAGTAACATATTAACATCTACTTAATGTCAGTAATGTATCAACAGAACATCTACAAGATATTTACTACAGTGTATTCAGATGCTTCACTACAGCTACCTCACTGATATGTTGTTGATGTGTTACTGATAATCTGTGTATTAACCATCTACAGAGGACCACTCCAAATAAAGTTACTGAATTCTTTTGTAGGCTGGGTCCAAACTTTTCACTGCTACTCTGTTACCTCTTTCCTCCCCTCGATTTTGTGAAAGTTTCCTCTACAGAGAACACACTTCTGCACATTTTGAAGCACATTTTAATGCACAATTACTGTTTATCTGCTGAATTTAACACACTGGAAGAAAAAAACTTAAATGTGGAAAAGTTATACAACATTTTAAATGTTTTATTTTCTCCAACATGTCAAATACAGCAAACATACAGTAACTGTACACTAAAATTAGCAGAAATCATATATAAGTGTGTTCACAGTAGAGGAGGTGTTAACACTTTTTACTCAGAAAACCAACAAAGCATGGAATTCAAACTTCTGCAAAAGTCCTAAGTGTCATCTTTGAGTGAATTAGAACAGAAGGGTGGATCACAGCGTAATCAGGGGAAGTGAAGATATCAGTATCAATGATTTCTTTGTAAGACATGTCCTTAAAGTGTCACTGAAAATCCTTAGAAAACAGCACTCGCACTCGGCAGAAAATAAGCCTGTGTTGTGGGAACAGGCCAAGGTTACTAGAGACCTTAGTGATAATCTCTGTGGAAGACTAAGTCCCCAAAACACACACACACACACACACACACATACACTCACTCAGTAACTAGGCCTGCATATTCACCCATCAGGCATAGCATCATGACCACCTCCTTGTTTCTACGCTCACTGTCCATTTTATCAGCTCCACTTACTATATAGGGTCACTTTGTAGTTCTACAGTTACAGACTGTAGTCCATCTGTTTCTCTGTGTACTTTGTTGGCCCCCTTTTACCCTGTTCTTCAGGGGTCAGGACCCCCATGGACCCTCACAGAGCAGGTACTATTTGGGTGGTGGATCATTCTCAGCACTGCAGTAACACTGACGTGGTGGTGGCGTGTTAGTGTGTGTTGCGGTGGTCTGAGTGGATCAGACACAGCAGTGCTGCTGGAGTTTTTAAACACCTCAGTGTCACTGCTGGACTGAGAATAGTCCACCAACCAAAAACATCCAGCCAACAGCGTCCTGTGGGCAGCGTCCTGTGACCGCTGATGATGGACTAGAGAATGACCAACACAAACTGTGCAGCAGCAGATGAGCTATCGTCTCTGACTTTACATCTACAAGGTGGACTGACAAGGTAGGAGTGTCTAATAGAGTGGACAGTGAGTGGACACAGTGTTTAAAAACTCCAGCAGCACTGCTGTGTCTGATCCACTTGTACCAGCACAACACACACTAACACGCCACCACCACGTCAGTGTTACTGCAGTGCTGAGAATGATCCACCACCCAAATAGTACCTGCTCTGTGAGGGTCCATGGGGGTCCTGACCACTGAAGAACAGGGTAAAAGGGGGCTAACAAAGTATGCAGAGAAACAGATGGACTACAGTCTGTAACTGTAGAACTACAAAGTAAGTGGAGCTGATAAAATGGACAATGAGCATAAAAACAAGGAGGTGCACTTTTTTATAACACATATAATGCACTAAAACAGCTGCATATAAAACAGATTAGCATAATCAAAGCGTTTCAACTGGTGTTAAATTCAATTTAGATTAATAGCAGATAATCAGAATCACCTTACAGGCACACACACTCAGGCAGGATTATTCTGAAGGCCAATAAATCGTTCCAAAGTGCCACTGGGTTTGGCCTCCTGCCACAGCAGGCTAAAAGCATGGTCATAATTAACGGCATAGCTGGCGTTCTCAGCTCAGTGATTACTCAAGGTCTCTTCTGCCTTCATGAAAACTTGCATTTTTTCTCTTTCAGAGTCTCATTAAAAGAGTGCTATTTCGGTCCAATGCAGTGCAAACAACAGTAATGTATCATTAACACAGTAATGAAAAAAACATTTAATATGAGTGAAAAGATGTTTAGTGATTATATTTTAGAAATATGGGCCTTTCATCTCAAATATTACTAAATAAAAGTAATTTTAACATTTGCCATGCTCAAAAATATCTTTTTCTACATAGAAATGATATACAGTCATATGCAAAAGTTTGAAAACCTCCGATCAAATGACATCAAAGGTGAAAACAAGTTCAGACATCTGCTACAGTGAACACGCTTAAATATGGCATTTTCTGCTAATTTTAGAGCGCAATTTTTCTTTACCTGGGATTCTAAAATATAAAACCTAACATGCGCCATAACTTTTGCACAGGTCACATTTTATGTTTTATACATTAAATTCAGCAAATAAACATTAAAATGTGTCTGTGGGGGATGTGTGGATTATTTGCACATAGAAAATCAATAGAATGTCATTTGCCCCCGGGGCGCCAAAACTTTTGTACACGACTGTTAATCAATTTCATATAAAAACATTCATTTTAAGAAAAGTATAATCATTTGTGTCATTTCCATCCTGTCACATCAACTAATTTAGCCGTAAAAATAATGTACTATAACATTAAATTACATGATTTTTGATATGCAATTAATTATATAATTATTCAACTTATTGATTCATCCCATCTTTGAGGGTCCATCAGTATTAACTTGGCCACCTTGTCAACTGGATAAACAAAACAGTTATTACAGCTTTGCAGTGTTCTCAGTCAATAGTTAGAGTTCTGATGTCAGAAGGCCGAAGCTTGTTGACAGAGAGTGCAGCTTCAGTGTGATGGACATTGGTGCAAATTTAGGTGGTGACAAAATGAAGCTTGTAGTATTGAAAATATAGTCAATTAAATATCCCACATCAATACTGCATTCACATTACAAGGACACTGCGTCAGTGAAAACACACCATGCACACACTGAGGCTATGTTGGTGTGCAGCAGTGCTTAGCGAAGCAGGTAGCCTGACAGCTAACCGCACTTCCTATGTGTCACGCATTCCTCCAGCAGGGACTCCAATTCCCAGAACCCCTTTGGGTGATCACGTGACTCCACCACACACAACCTATCCAAGATCAGCCTCACCTGATTACTGATCATGCTCACCCGTTCTGATAATCTTGTGAGCTGTTTAGTCAGCTTCATAAGCTCTGGCTTTAGGTTAGATTGCGAGGTATTGCTTCTGTCACTGAAAAGATACTGAACATTTCATTTTACATTCCTGTTTGTTTTTCTGTTTATTGGCCATGTGCCTGTGTGACTCTGCCCTCCTGCCTGATCCCTTGGACTTTGTTATGACTGTGTTTTTTTGACCTGGGCCTGTTTTGTGACAGCCACTTCGGAACTCCCTCAAACTAGTAAAGCCTCTTTTTTTTACAATCCCACATGTCTGATTCATTCTGTCCCATTATAACATGCTTACAACACTAAAGTGTCCACATGTGGAATTCCTTTCAATAACATCTGTTATTTTTATTCTTTTAATATTGACAATTAATGGATTTATGAGAATGTGATAACTGTGCATGCTTTGTTTACCTAGTTTTATCAATGAAATCTGAAGCTTTTATGTGGTTCTGGCATTATATGCAGCTTATAGCCTTTAGATGTTGGTCCCACTGACATGTCAGACCAAATTTGTAGCTGTAGCGATGGACTTATATTAATGTTATTTGGCACAATAAAATAAATATTCCTGCTGAGGTGGGAAATCCTGCTAAAAACAGCCTGGCCAGCTCAAGCTGGTTAAGGTGGTAGACCAGCATAGGGAACATTTTCGTTTGAGTTTGATGGTCATCCAGTATGATCAGGCTGGTCGCCTAGCATGACCAGCTTGACTTTATTGGTTGACCAGCATCACATTGGTCATGCTGACAGACTAGCTAAACCATCAAATTTTAATAAAAACCTAAACAAGCAAAGTTAATCTACCATCTTAACAAGCTGATTAACCAGCATAGGGTACGTTTTTGTCTGGTCCAGCTGGATGTCCAGCTTGTCAACCACCCTGACCCTACAGACAAATTTAGACCATGTAAACCCATCTGCAAAAGCTGGTCTTAGCTGGATTTTTCATGGTTTTTGGTAAATGTGCAATTGAAACCGAAAAAAAACTGATTTTGTGGCATGAAAATAATTCAAATTAGCACAGTCTTGCAGAATGACTCTTCAGTCATTATAATGGCTCGGATTTTGCATTATGTTGACTTTTTAAACCCATTTTCGCATTACTGAATCCATTATTACAATTTTCATAGCGCTTCGTAAAACCAAACATACACCATTTTCCCTCTTACCCCAAATGTAGTCAGTCAGCCAAGTCTATTAGAGATCACTTAACAACTCAACATGGTTTGCGGTAAGAAGTAGACACAGTGCTAATAAGCTTCCATTATTTGTCAGCTACATTAGCAATGTTTTGGCTAATTGATCGGATCTGACGTAAATTTTGTAAACGCATTTTTTTTGTGAAAACGTGAATTTTATAATTTTTTTTTTAAAGAAATATCCAGAGGTCAAAACAATCAGTGCTTTCTGAAAAAAAAAGCAGGCCTGCAAATCATATTAGCAGTGAGGGAACATGAATTAGTACAACTCTTGAAAATTCCAGGCTTTTAAGGTTTATTATTCAGTAACTACAGGGAATTCAGTGCAAACTGGCTGAGCTATTCTTAGGTTATAGAAGAGTGTAATAAAGCTTTGGGCCTGCTGGTGGGCCCTGGACATTTAAGGGATTAAAAAAGGAAACTGCTTTGCAAAGAAACTTCCAGTTCTCTTTATTTCAAGGTTTGGTTTGCGCATTGATTAAGGCAGTTCTGCTCAGAGCAAACACAATCATTCACTATTATTCACAACAAGACTAAGGGCCCTTATTCAACTCAACTCCCTCCAATTCAGCTTGATAATTAGCAAATGAGACCGAAGAAATAATTTGGTAAAAAATCTAATTTACACATTTTTCCCCTTATCCCCCAAAATAATGGCATGAATAGACATGTTCGGTTTCTAAAGTGTCTTTAATTTGGTATCTGAGGTTTCTTTAGTTTTGCACTGGAGTTACTCAGCACTGACATCGCTTTTATCTATTTTTATATAACAGTATGCTACACAGTGTCAGAACCCACATAATCAAGGCATGATTTGAGGCAACCGTGTGATGGTTTAGGCAAGCAGTGTTAATTCATGGGATTTAAGATTTCATTACTATGCAAACAGACACCAAACATGTCTTGACTCTATTTGGGACACTATTGTTATCCAATTTCTATTCTTTTTCTTCTTCTTCTTTTTCTGCCAGATTTTGTCTGCTAAAGCCAGGCCTACACTGTGCGATTTTGAACCTGATTGGTCGGAGCCGATTGAATTTCACGATTGTGCCGAATTTCAGCTTCATTGGCCGTCGTTTGTCGTGCAGCATGAGGGGAAACGATGCCCGGTTAACAGCTCAAATGAGCTCCGACTGAGCAATCGGATTGATTTCTGACATGACAGAAATTTTGGTCGCTTGTCTCACAGTCTGAGCAGCCTCACGAACCGATTTCTCAAAGTCGCCCCCAAAACCACACAATCACAACCACTGCTCCTACACGGAGGCTAAAAAGTCCACATTTGCGGCACCAGTGTCCGTATATGACGACTTTGCTTTCGGTACACATGTGATTAGACATGTGTTGAACTTTATGGGTGCAGGAGCAACTATTTTAATATGTGGTGCACTATGTAGGGAGCAGGGAGCAACTTGAGATTCAGCCAGTGTTTTGATCAGGACATCCGAGGCGCAGCGTGTTGTTTTGAATCAAACAGCTTTATCGTAGACTGACCGTCTGTAGGGGCTGCGTTTCACGTGCAGTGTGAGCACCCATGTCACGTCATGTCAGTCGGACCAAGTGTTTTCATACTATATGGTTTGCAGGCTTTGGCCGAACAGTGTATGCCTGGCTTTACTCATCCTGCAGTTTTCGAGATATCAACACTGCTCCAACTCCGAAATGTTCGGGCTGATCATAAATGGTGTGCTTCAATACAGTGGATGTACAGTTTTCGGACAATTATAGTTAACTGACAATTTTTTTGAGAATGAAAGGGGTGAAAACGTTTGTTCACTCAGCTTATGGCGTGTTGATACAAGTCCATTAGTAACATCGTATTAACCATCCTAGCAACCATGCAGCAACAGCCTAGCAACCACCTGGGATACCACAGCAACCACTTATCAACACCTTTGTAACCACCTAAAATACCATAGTAGCCATTCGGCAACACCTTAGCAACCACCTGGGAACTGCTCAAGCTGCGCAATCGCTCTGCATTTTCTTCGGGAAACACGCTTTACTCTAGTCTTTAATACATCACTTGAGAGAAGATACACAGTGCTGTACCTGCTGAGTTTGAGGTCAGGAGAGAAGATGAGTTTTCCTGGATGATCTACAGATCTCCACATGAGACCCAGCATCAGCACCTCCAACCAGCAGCACTCCAGCAGCTGCACCTGCAGAGGCAAGCTCAGCTCCACGAAACCTGCAGAGGAGAACAGGAGCTCAGAGTCAGGTACCACGTTTTTATAGTGAAAAGGCAATTTGATTACAGATAAATGTATAAAATTCATCTGATAGTCTTGCACCGCTTAGGACAAATCATTAGCTGTAAAAATGAAAGAAATGTGTCTAGAATGATGGAAACCAAGCTACAAAAACAGGCTGTATTGATTTCATTTATTTTGTGATGTCACAAAATCCAACAAATCTATACACACACACACACACGTATATCTGCCTATTCAGCCCACTGCAGGGTAGCTCCGCCCACTCATGCTCATACATGGAGTGTTTCAGCCAATCAGAAGAGAGTTTGTTTACATATATCAGTCTTAAAGGCACAGTCACCAAAACATAGGTGTACAGAGAGGTTGGAAAAAATGGTCATTTAAAACGAATTATGACAAAGTATGGTACATAAAACCATATATATGTTGAAAGTGAACCTCAGGAGAGAAATTAAGTTACAAGAAAAATGTAAAAAATAGGCCCTTTTAATCTGTATTCTGTGAGTTATTATTGTATATCACTGCTGTCAGAACAAAACCTTGTATTTCCATTTTTTTACTTTTTGACATAATTTGAAAAAGCCTGCTGCCCTTTACATTGTGTGTAAATTTCATGATGAATGAACCAAAAGAAAAAAAGTCTGGTTCCATTGACTTACATTAAAAGTAAATAATGTTTTTTCCTTCTCCCGAAAAGTTATCACTGTGGAGATACGACGTTCCGACAGCAGCGTTATACATGAAACAATGACTTGTAATACAGTAAATCATTCCACACTTTTAAAGGTGCTGTACGTCTGTCTTTGGACAGAGCCACAAATCCTGAAGGCAGTGAGTGATCAGGCGCTCATCCGCAGGATTCTACTAAACACACAGCAGCTTACTGAGAGAGTGATGGATGTGGTTAATGATAGAACGCTGGTGAACAATAATCATACAGGAAAATGTCAGGACGAGACGATGTTCTCCAAAGCTGCGCTAACACACCTGCACAGTCCTGCACTGCTGAGCCGCAGCCTAATGAATCTCTATTACTGCATCAATCTGGCCTCAGTCTGTGAGAATCGTTTCAGCTCACTTAACACTCCCACTGACATTCACACAGCGTCTGCAGGAATATATCATCTTCCACAGTCAGGACAGAATTGGCCGTTTCGGAAAACTGACAGGCCTGAGAGTGTCTGGAAACCTGCACGACTTAAAGGAACAGTCTGTTCAAATTAGCCCAATTTCCCTTTTAAACCAAATCATGACTGGTGTCTAAAGCTACTTTACTTTTTTACTGGAGCTACAAAGCTAATGTAGCTAGCAAGTAATAGACACTTAGAGCCCACCAATTAGCATTGTGCAAACCACATGTAAACTGTTAAATATCAACTTTTTAGTTAAAGCTGAAAGAAGCAGCATTAGGAGAAAAAAACGGCTAAAATATGAAATATGGTGAGCGTGTGCTGCTGTGGGTCACCCTGTAAAGACTGAAATATTACTAAAAAATCAGAGGTGTTGGGCCAGGAGTATCATACGTCTTTACATATTAACATCATATATATATATACATACACACGTCTGCGTGTCCACCATACCACACCCTGGACCTTTCAATGCAGTGTGCAATGACTGCTTAAGTACAGCTGAGTAAAGTTGCTTAATGAACCCAAATATCTAAGAGCACTGACCACCAGTGTAGAAGAGATGATGAAGGTCCACATATGATGTTTGTGTGGGTTTTATGTACCAAAAGCAACTCATTTTCACCTTTTTAACCTCTCTTTATCCCTTGCTGTTTTTGTTTCTGTGCCTTTAAGATGGATATATGTAAATGAGCTCTGCTCTGATTAGCTGCTCTGTATTGTGCGTCATTCAAAACGCAGAACAGGCTAAAACGCTTTTTGGTTTTTGTGACATCACAAAAACACTGATTTAATTTCCGTAAGTGAACTGAACGGGCTGGGAATGAATGACAGATTTTGAGAGCATGAAACGAAGACTGACCTGGTATCTTCTTGGCCCAGGTGATCATAAAGACGAGCTCTTTGTCAGCGAGGTTTGTGAGCGACATCATCATGCTGGCCTCAGTGTACGGCTTATTCAGCTGCTGTTTCAGGGAAATCTGCGGCGGCTCTGCGTCCAGCATGCAGTGGACCAGCTGCTCGGGGGATAGGCTGGACCCCGCGTGGCCCAAGGGAGAGAGTGCGAGATGGAGGTGGGGCTGCTGATACCGCTGGGAATGACCTCTGACCCCCACGGCTGTACCGGAGCCATCCCGGACGTGAGGAGCCCGGCGGTGACGAGGCCCTCGATAACTACACCGCTCTCTCCTTACACCTACGAGTAAAAACACACCGTCACGAAAGCTCTTCTGTCATTCAAATGGACTTCTCTGCTGGACTCAGCTTGTGATAAGACTAACATGCAATTTAGCACTAGATTAAAGGAAGAGTTCAGCAAAAAAAATCACATTTACAGTTTTCTGCTCGTCCCAAATGGAGTCGACCAGCCAAGACATGTTTGGCGTCTCAAGTTTGCGTCTTTAGTTTTGCACTGGAGCTACAAGGCTAACAAGAAATGGAAGCTAACACCTCACCTGTTAGCATTGTGCTAGCTGCTTCTCCAAATCATCTCACACTCTATCCAGTGCTGCACTATTTAAGGTGGAACGGGAAAATTCAAACAAGAAGCAGGCGATTAGGCCAGCTTATATAATAAGCCATTTTTAGCATCATCCTTCTTCCTGTAATTCGGGAAGTGGTTATTTCATTTTTATGTGCATTAAGATTAGATGTGATTCACACATTCATAGATTTGATGATGTGAGTGAGATCACGATCACATATTATCATACAGTATTATTAGTTTGCCTCTTTAGTTTTGCACTGGAGCTACAAGGCTAACAAGTACTTTAAGCTAATAGCTCACCTGTTAGCGTTGTGCTAACTGCTTTTCCAAATTACCTCACACTCTATCCAGCTGTTAAGTAAGCTCAGTCTGAAATTTCTCTGTGTTTTGTCCATGTTTGTAGATAACAGTGTGTCATACAGTGGCAGAAACCCCACAAGCAAGTCTATTAGAGACACTGAACCAAAGGGGAGGAACCAAACCAGATGGGTATAGATGACGTTGAATTGAATTTCATCCGCTGTCTCAGGAGGAACATTCTCAGCTGAGCTCTATGCCATGGAGAGCGTGCTCCTCTCCCATTTCAGGTCCCTGGATAATGTGGTGCCCAGGAACTTGAGTGACCCACAGTGGAAACCAGAGCACCGTTGATGTTGAGGGGGAGGGACACACTACAGTGTGTTGAGCTGCAAATGACTGCTGCTGCACCAGAAGACCAGCTGCTCTACTTCCTTTCTGTAGGCAGACTCATCCCTTTTTGCCCAGCACGGTGGTGTCATCTCCAAACTTCAGGATCTTCACAGCTGGTTCCGTAGAGACACAATCATTGGTGTAGAGACTGAAGGGGTGAGAGTGGACAACCTAGTGGTACTCCAGTTTTGAGGGTCCCGGGATCTGATTTATTTTCCTATCTGCACCTTCTGTCTCCTGTTTGTCAGGGAATCTATGATCCACTGGCAGACGGGATCTGGCATAGACAGCTGGGACAGTAGCTCTGGCACTGTGTGTCGAAAGCTGAAGTCCACAAACAGAACTCTAGCATTAGTTCCAGCACTGTTGAGATGCTGTAGCATGACGTGGAGGGCCAAGTCGACCACGTCGTCGATAGACCTGTTAGCTCTGTACGCAAACTGAAGGGGATCCACCAGAGGGTTTGTAAAGGTCTTCAGGTGGGCTGGGACCAGGCGTTCAAAGACCTCAAAGAGATCAGGGTGCGACGATGCTTCGCCGAACTCCACGAGGAGACACAAAGTCACCGGGGAGGTTGTAACTGAATGGTCTGAGGGATGAAGCTGCAGGAAGATATGACGACTTGGAGTGGTTCTGTTCAAACGGTGAGTGATTTATTTACAGACATGAAAAACTGTGTAAATGCAAATAAACGGTAGTTAAAATATTAACTCAACGGCAGTACAGGTAAGCATATTTAGTCATAGGCTGCAAGGCCATAGAACTACACTTCTGATTGGCTCGACTCACATCTCCCTCAGCTGCCTCTCAGTGTGAGGTGAGTACTATCGAGCTAGCCCTCCTTTACTAAACCTCTCCCGTACTTCTTATAGGATTAGTCCCGCCCCTGTATCACCTGAGCCAACCCATTCCACTCCACAGGGGTGTTGCTACCCTCTAAAAGTGGGTTAAAACAAGGGTCAATAAAACCATGATCAATGTCGTAAGGCCTTAATATAATATGTTACCTGTAAAGGTGTTTTAATACAATGCGCACATTTATTAACCTGTCTCACTTTCTTTTCTGGGACCTAGGTTGGAGACATCACCCCTCCCATGAGCTAGCTGTGGGCCCTCCGGCACACTCATGAGTGAGCTCAGGCTCCTTTTGCTGACTCTGCTAGGAACAGACAACAGGTGAGTATAACAGGTAGGTATACTGGTAAGTATTACACACACATACAGTCCCTGGTGATGGGCAATGCGTTTACCTCATCACACAGGGCTACTGGCCTGTAGTCATTTAGTTCAGTAGTGTTCATTCTTCTGGGGACTGGAATGATGGTAGATGTTTTGAAGCATACAAACAGAGCAAAGCTCCAGTGATTTGTTGAAGATTGTGGTGAAATTTGGTGCTAGGGTGGACGGAGAGACCGAGCCTTTCCCCAGAGCTTGTCTCACCTTCTGAAAAGCCTGTTAACGTCCTGCTCATTAATGGTGAGATGTGGAGGGGGCTGAGGTGCAAACGTGGGGAAGGAGGGCAGTGGACTGGCAGAGAGAGGCTGACGATTGTCCTTTTTTGTGTTCAAATCTGCAGTAGAACTCATCCAGGTTGTTGGTGAGCTGGCGGTCATTCGGGAGAAGGGTAGTTTTTCTCACCTTGTAGTTGGAGATCTCTTCAAGGTTTCCTAACTGAAGTTGGCATCAACTTTTCTGAGTATTTCTTCTTTGCTGCTGTAATCCCTTTCTCCAGTTTGTATTTGGTCTCTTTGCAGAGAATTCTGTCCCCAGTAACCGGATGCTGCCTCCTTTTCCCTCCGAAGCCCAAGTCCAGCTGAAAACCATGGTCTGTCTCTGCTGTGTTTCACCCGTGCTGTATGTTCTCGCAGAACCTGATGTATGACGTCACGGTGTCTGTATATTCATCATTTCTGGCCTTAGATTCTGTTAGGATATCTACCCAAGCACCTATATGCCGACTCTTTACCATCTGACTGTTCATATGCCTTGATATTCATGTGCTCAAGTTTGTTTTGATAAGCTTCAGCCTACTTCCTTGTAGTCTCTCTATAATAGCCTTTCCTTCTGCAGTAATGGCACTGAATCAATGTGACAGAGTGAAGTTAAACCCTATGTTGGTGACTATAAAGTAGCGAAAATTAGATGAACACTCGCTAAAACTGTGAGTTCATATAACTGAATAAATGTAACTGGTTACTACCCACCTCTGAAGTTAGCACAATGCTAACTGGTAGAGTATAAACTTCCATTAATTTTTAGCTACATTAGCCTCGTAGCTCCAGGGTAGAAGTAAAGATGCAAACTTCAGACAACAAACACATCTTGGCTGATCAACTGCATTTGGGTTGTTTTTTCACCTGTTTTTTCCTTCTTAAATCTGCACTGTGCTTTCATTTCCATCTACATCAAAGCTAACATACCACACTTCATCATGCCCACTTCATAGCACTTGCGCAGCCGACAGGCCTGGCAGCTCTTGCGGCGGTTTTTGTCGATCGTGCACTGGTTGGTGGCTGGACAGATGTAGTCATTGTGTCCTGAAACAGAAAAGAAGCGTTAGGCCAACATAAATACCATCACACTGTACACTCATAAAAAAGATGGCTCTTCAATGGTTCTTTAGTAAAGACAAGCTTCTACATAGAACCTTGAACACTCAAAGAACAATTTGCATGTTTGAGGGGTTCTTTCCATGGTGAAATGTTCTTCAGATTGATGGAGAATGTTTTGCATATGGTTCTATATAGCACCAAAAATGTTCTGCTATTCAAGCTTGTAACTATAGAAGAACGCTTTTTGGTGCTATATAGAACCATTTTCAAAAAGATTCTTTATAGAACCGCACACAATCTGAAGAAAATACCAATATGCGACAACATAATGTTGCATAAATAAAAATAAAAATGTTCTCGAGCAAAATGGTTTTATATGGAACCATGAACACTGAAAGAACCCTTTGCATGATTAAAAGGTTCTCTGCATGGTGAAATGGTTCTTCAGACTGATGGAGAAAGTGTTGCATATGGTTCTATGTAGCACCAAAAAGGGTTCTGCTATTGTTGCGATGTTAAGTTTGTAACAATAGAAGAACCTGGTGCTCTACAGAAGAAAATACCAATATGCCACAATATAATGTTGTTAGAATTAAAGGGTTCTGCATCATAAAAGCGTTCTTCACATTGATGGAGAATGTGCAGTACATGGTTCTATACAGAACCTTTTTGAAAAGGGTTCTATAGAGCTCCCAAATGGGTTCTTCTATTGTTGGAAGCTTGACACTGTAACAAGAACTCTTTTGGGTGTTATATAGAACCCTTTTCAAAAGAAAAGGTTCTATATAGAACCATGTACAGTACGTTCTCCATCCATTCCTTTCGCAATGCAAAGAAGCCTTTAATCATGCAAATGGTTCTTTGAGTGTTCATAGTTCTATACTGCACCATTTTCTTTAATCTTGAAGAACCATTTTTTTGAAGACTGTAAGAACAGAATCTACACACACTTGAGCACAAAGGTTCTGCGGTTTAAGAACACGTCATGAATCTGACGTAAACTTTTTCTTAGGACCTTTCTCAAGAACACATTTCAGAACAAACTTAGGAAGATATTGATGAATGAGGCCCATTATTAGTAAACAACACAAGAATGGAAAAAGTTAGAGAGCCCTAGCAAAGACCTTAAACATCCCTGTTGGTGCAAGTCTCAACAATGTGCAGGTGGAAAATTCATGGAATTGTACCCAGACAGGTGCAAGATTTCGCTCAGATAACTGATAAAATCCAGCAGTCACTCAGAAAGAGGTGCAGGAGTAACTAAAAGCAGCAGGAACAACAACCACCCAGAGAACAACAAGCAATGAACTGCACCGCAGTCATCTCCGTTCCTGCACCACACACAAAACCCCTCTGCTAAAAAAGAAGTGCAGGGATGCCAGTCTAAAATTTGCAAATGCTTGTTTACACAAATCAGACGTCTTTTGGAACAATGTGTTCTGGTCAAAATAAAAAAATACAACCCCATATCTAAAAAAAGACGGGAGCATGTTTACCACTGTGTTTCATCACCTCTTTTTTTAACAGCACTCTGTTGTAGTTTTGAAAGTGAAACGTTTTTCCCTTCTTGTTTGATATAGGATTTCAGCTGCTCATCAGTTCAGGGGCTCACTTGTCATTTTTCATTTTATAATGTGCCAATTCTTTTTCAGTGGTGACAGTTTTGGACTGCAGTCAGGTCAGTTTAGCATCCAGACTCTTTTAATATGGAACAATTCTGGGGTAACACATGCAGAATGTGGTTTGTCATTGTCTTGCTGAAATAAACAGGGCCTTCCCTGAAAAAGACATCATCTGGATGGCAGCAAATGTTGTCAAAACCTGTATATATCATTCAGCATTAATGGTGCCTTCACAGATGTGCCAGTCACCCATGCCATGTGCACTAATGCCCTCCTACACCATCATGAATACTGGCTTTTGAACTGTGCACTGATAACAAGCTGAGTGGTCTTTAGCCCAGAGGGGAGAGTGTCCATGATTTCCAAAAAGAATTTCAAATGTTGATTCGTCGGACCACAGGACACTTCCACTTCACCTCAGTCCATTTTAAATGAGCTCGGGCCCAGAGAAGGTGGCAGCATTTCTGGATCCTGTTTATATTTGGTTTCTTCTTTGCATTTGTGGAGGCAGTGATGAACTGTTTTCACAGACAGTGGTTTTCAGAAGTGTTTCTGAGTTCATGCAGTGATTTCCACTACAGAATCATGTCTGTTTTTAATGCAGTGCTGCCTGAGGCCCAAAGATCACGGCCAGTAAATACTGGTTTTTGGCCTTGTCCCTTACACACAGAGATTTCTCCAGATTCTCTGAATCTTTTAATGTTATTATCCACCGTAGATGATGAAAAGCCAAAGTTATTTGCTATTCTATGTTGAGAAACATAAAATATCAAATATTTTATGTTGAGTTATTCTTGAAATGTTGTACTATTCACCTGTGCAGTCTTTCACAGAGTGGTGAACCCCTCCTTACCTTTACTTCTGAAAGACTCAGCCTCTCTGGGAAGCTTTTTTTTATACCCAATCATATTACTGACCTGTTGCCAATTAACCACCAGGTGATTTTTTTAGCATTACACAATTTTACCAGCCTTCTGTTGCCCCATCCCAACTTTTTTGGAAATGGGGTTGTACTAGTACTATTAATTGATGATTGAATACTTTTTCCTGCCAATGTTCCTTTCAGAACAAACATGTCTGATTACTTGTTTCCCTCAATGTGTACTTTACACCTGCCTTCTACTCCCACTCACTGTCCACTGTATGAGCTCCACCTGCCTTACAGCACCACTGTACAGGTGTACAGTTACAGACTGGGGCTCGTCTGTTACTGCACAGTTTATCAGCCCCCCTCTACCCTGTTCATCACTGGTCAGTTTCTGACCACAGGACCACTGTTATCCAGATATTATGTGGGTGGTGGTCCATTCTCAGCACAGCAGTGACAATGACATGGTAGTGTGTGCGGTGCTGGTGCGAGTGTATCAGACATAGCGATGTTGCTAGGTTGAGAGAAATCCATTCAAGAGCTGCTCTGTGGTCAGAAACTGACCACTGACAAAGGACTAAATGACACAAGGGGTTTCCGATAAAGTAGCCAGTGAGTCTGCTGGTCATGTAGCTGTAGCAGATCTAAATGAATAGGGATAAGAGTTGAAGGTCATTTTATGACTGTTTTCCTAATTCAGGAGAAGCTTGAAATCACAACAAAACACAAGTGGGCTGTAAAATCTCAGGAGGGAACAAAGTGCACTGACCTTGGCTCCACTGGGATTTGTGATTATGGCGTGTGTGTGTGTGTGTGTGTGTGTGTGTGTGTGTGTGTGTGTGTGTGTGTGTGCAGTGTTTGAAATAAGGGTAGCTAAGGGTTCTGCTAAATGGTGTAACAGAGCCAGACATTTAGATTGATAAACAATTGTTTGTTTTCTCTCAGAATGATAAAACCAGTGCATGGAAGTGTGGATAGCCAACGTTTAAAAGGGGAAGGATTATGCTTTTCCAGCTGTTCCCTTTCCTTTCGTGTGTTATCTTTTAGTGCATGCAAACTGTTGGCAAAGTTACTGTAGCACTGCCTGTGCTACCCTGGGCTCAGGAAGGACAATGAAGGGAGGAAAAAACATTTGCAGCAGCCATATTCTTTCATTTTCACACTAAACAACCCACAACTAGGGTAAATCTGGCCATTTTTCAGTGGCTTCAAATGAGACTTTTCAGTCCTCTTCTCACTCCAGCTCTTCCATCCCTCTCTGCTCTTTTTCAAAAGGCGCTCATGCTGCACCTGAGCACCTGGGCCGAGAGGGGACGAGAGCTCGTTGCTCCGCCTCTGTCTCCGCCCCCCGTTCTCTGGCTTGACCACCAGGATTGAATGTGAGGCACATCATTGCAGAGGCGGTGCCCAGGAGATGGGGCTCAGGACCCGTGCGCCGTCCTCCACTCCCTCACAGATTTCATCCTCTCCCCATTGTCTTCACAGGGTTTCGGGGCTTGGAGTTCGGCCCTGCCTTCCTGCCAGCTCTGGGCCCAGGGGGCGGGTTCATGCCACAGTTATGAACCTCAAAGTTCAAGCCAGGGGGGAGAAACTCTCTCCCAAAAAAAAAAAACACTTTTCTCAGCTGCCTGAAATGCCTCGTTGGAATTCCAGCACTTTTCCTGTGTTACAAGATGACATCATCTCGTAACACAGTCCTTACTGCCTAGAGCTCGGCACGTCCTCACACAGCACAGAGCAGCTACTGGAGGCCGCAAGGAGTTTGTTCAGTTTTGTAGCCGCGTGGAGATGCTGACTGGACTTTCAGGTGAAACAGCCGCAGCGGAGTTTACAGCTACTCAGGAGGGAAGGGTCTGTCTGCAGACTGCAAGACAGGGATGGAACATATTAGGGGCAGAACTGCTCTGGTGGTTGACCGATTAGAACAGAGTGGGTGAGCTGACCAATCAGAGCAGTGGGCAGCCCTATCCACAGCGGCCAGAGAGCAGTTGGGGGTTCAGTCACATACTGTCGGCTCAGGGGATCGAACCGGTGACCTTCTAGTCACAAGCCTGGTTCCCTAACCTCCAATGAGCATCACAGGTCCCATTTAAATTGTCCATGAGAAGTCAGTTTCTGAGAGCTGATTTTAGAATGCAGTTCATGTACTTCTGTCTGCAGAGTGTCTGAGACTGAAACTTACTGACATACCACTGAGAGCTCGTCTACAGCGTCCATCTCACACCTCAAAGCATAGCGTCTGCCACTAGAACCAGCCCCTGTTAGCAAGCTGCAAAAAGTTTGGATGTCCTGGTGAAATGACATGTTTTGTGAAAATAAGTTCACACACGTTAAAACTCATTGTGCACTAAAATGTGCAGGAAATGTACAGAAATGTATTTGACCAAACTTTGGCATACGACTGTTATTCAAGAAAACCTGAAATCCAGACATTGAGATGTTTTACAGTGAGAGGTCAATAAACTTCAACCGCGTAGCTCCGCCCAGTGCCAGTTCAACAGCGGCTCCATTAAAAGCGAATGGCCGAGATGCACACAACAAAACCTTTCTGGTTGTGTGAACGCTGCTTTACCTTGAATGCTCCTCTTGAAGAAAGCCTTGCAGCCCTCGCAGGACCAGACGCCATAGTGATACCCTGAAGCATAATCACTGCACACCACGCAGAAATGCAGGTCAGATTTGGTCATAACGGCCGAGGAAGAGTTGTTCACGACTTCGTCGGCGTCTTCCAACTGATTCCCAAACAACTTCCCATGAGGCAAAGTACTGCAGAGAGAGAGAGAGAGAGAGAGAGAGAGAGAGAGAGAGAGAGAGAATAAAGCATACATATGTTTATCATAAATGTAACTTCTAACATTCATGCCAACAAAGCACTTTATAGCCATTGTCCATTTTATCAGCTCTGCTTACCATATAAATGCCATAGTAAAGATAGAGGTTCTATATAGAACCATGAACACTCAAAGATCCTTTTGCATGTTTAAGGGGTTCTTTGCATCGTGAAATAGTTGAAGATGATGATGAGATTGATGGAGAATATGTAGTACATGGTTCTATATAGCACCAAAGAGGGTTCTGCTATTGCTACGATGAAGCTTGTAACTATAGAAGGACGCTTTTTGGTGCTATACAGAACCCATTTTCAAAAAAGTTCTATATAGAGCCAAATACGACACGTTCTCCATCAATCTAAAGAAAATACCACAATATAATGTTGCATAAATAAAAATAAAAATGTTCTTGAACAAATCACACCTGTTGTCATTATAAAAGACGTTGCCATTGGTTGAGATTTCATGCAACAAGAAGCAATCATGGTGAAGGAGTTCTGTTTCTGAATTTGTCTATATTTTGCTACTGTCAGAACAAAACCTCGTATCTCCAAATGGTAACTTTACAGGAGAAGGAAAAACATACTTTACTTTTAATGTAAGTCAATGGAACCAGACTTTTTCCAACTCATTTTGGGCTGTTTCCATTGGTCCATTCATCATGAAATTTATACACAATGTAAATGGCAACAAATAATGTCAAAAACGACAAAAATGGAGATACGAGGTTTTGTTCTGACAGCAGCGATATGTTTATCAGCAATGTAACTTCTAACATTCCTGCCGAAGCACTTAATAGTCACTGTCCATTTTATCAGCTCCACTGACCATATAGGTGCACTTTGTATTTCTACAGTTACAGACTGTAGTCCATTTGTTTCAATGGTCAGGACCACCACAGAACCACCACTGAGCAGATATTCAACATTTTAATTGTTGGTTTCTATAGATTATGAATTTCTCCAGTTTTTGTCCATTTCTACAAGTAGCGTTAGCTTAGCTGAATTTGGCTGTTCTATCTTTATGTTTCACCTATAATAGGTGTGCCATGCACCTGTGCCCCGGGCCCTATGACTTTGATGAGAGGCAGCGGGAAGGCTGGACCCGAATTCCGAACACAGGAAATCAGCCACCGGAGAGGGGCAGATGACAGCGACACCCGGCATTAAGGCGGGACATGAGTCCCAAACACCAACACCCCGGCCCTGCCTACAAGACCCTACACCTTCTGTTTGACCCCAGCAGCCAAGCTGGGGGTGGTGACGGGGAGGCGGAGCAACAATCTTTCTGTCCCTCTCGACTCAGGCTTTAAAAAAAGAGCTGAGAGGGAACAGCGAGAGAGAGAGAGAGAGGGAGGGACGAGCAGCAGTAACAGACTGAAGAGCTGAAAAGCTCAACTAAAAAGTCCAACTTTGAAGCCACTGAAAAGTGTTGGTTTTGTTTCATTTATTGTGTCTGTTGGTGTGAAAATACATTTAAAATGGCTGCCGCAATCTTCACCCCTGCCTCCAGCGTAATTCCTCTGCCCGAGGCAGCACAGGCCGTGCTACAATAGGTTTAAACTAAAACTACTTTTTTATTTTAGCTTTTGTTTGTTGCTTCACATTTCACATTATAGGCCACTCTGTGGGAAGCACTTTATTTTAGGGGATGATAAATACCTATTATTTTATGGGGTAAATATGCAGTACATACAAGTCATTTCCTGGTATATACTTTGCAACTTTAATATATAACTACAGTAACTAATCTGAGACATACGAGATATATTTCAGCTTTTAATGCTAAGTAGTATAAGTAACAGCAAGTACTACCAAACTGCTTCAGGAAGTACATGCCTATGTGATAGAGGAGACAAAGGTCTAAAAATTGAAGGGTAGCACTGAGTACTGAGTAAGCACCATAATTCATTCTATTTTAATTGGCTGATAAGTTATCTGTACTGATTACCTATCTAATTATCTGTAATATCATAGAAACAGGGCTGTAAAATAAAGTCTATTATTATAGTTATAGGTTGCATTTACACAGCAACTATTCATTTTCTTGTGTTTGTGGCAAGCAGAGTAAAACCACACTCAGTGTTCATAATCATATACAGCGTTCATAATCATACACAGTGGTATAGATCAGATTTGGGTTAAAAACGATGGTAGAAGATAAATTTGCGTTTACTGTAGTGTAAAATAGGAATGAATGAGGCAAAAAACACATAAGATTAAGGAAAAAAATGGAAACATACTCTACTAGTACAAGCTAACCAGTGAAACATGACTTCCAATACAGAGAATAATACATAATATACACCAATACAACAAATAAGCAAGCTACTAAAACTTTCATGCAACTAGTTGCATGTTGTGAATTGCCTGCAACATGATTTCAGTGCAACTTGATGCTTATATGAAGCAATTAAAGAACAAAGTTGCATACAACTCGTTCAGTTATTCCACTAGTTAGCCAATTTAGCAGCTCATAGTTTTTATTACATCACATCCTTGTCGCTACGAAGTCATCTGCGAGGTGATATTTATATATATGCAGCATTTTTATCATTGCCGTTCTTTTTTCTCATGTTTATATATCTGTGTTTTGTCTACATACCTAGCATTGTTCACTATATGTGAGTTTTTATCTGTTGTATGTTAAACCTTTGAAAACGAGCAAATAAAACAAATAAACAAGCTACTAAATCCACAAAGCAGACAGCAGAGCTCAGAAATGATTCAAAGTCCAGAACAGAATTTAACGAGTGAGCCCACTAAAACCCGGAGGATGTGGACTGGAGTCTGTAATTCAGCTGCTGATCCAGTGCAATCCAGTATTCCAGTCCAGGTTTCCCTGTGTCTGGTCACTGAGCACAGGACTGTGTAAGATGTGTGGCTGGCCTGTTCGCTCCTGCAGCTGGACTACATTTGTTTCTCCATTCTTTGTTTTTGTGCTTTTGCCCTTTTGGGTCCTTCACTGTTGTGTAGATGTTACACTGATCAGGCATAACATTATGACCACCTCCTTGTTTCTGTGCTCATTGTCCATTTTATCAGCTCCACTTACTATATAGGTGCACTTTGTAGTTCTACAGTTACAGACTGTAGTCCATCTGTTTCTCTGCATACTTTGTTAGCCCCCTTTTACCTTGTTCTTCAGTGGTCAGGACCCCCATGGACCCTCACAGAGCAGGTACTATTTAGGTGGTGGATCATTCTCAGTACTGCAGTAACTCTGGCGTGGTGGTGGTGTGTTAGTGTGTGTTGTGCTGGTCTGAGTGGATCAGACACAGCAGTGCTGCTGGAGTTTTTAAACACCTCAGTGTCACTGCTGGACTGAGAATAGTCCACCAACCAAAAACATCCAGCCAGCAGCGTCCTGTGGGCAGCGTCCTGTGACCACTGATGGAGGACCAGAGGATGACCAACACAACCTCTGCAGCAGCAGATGAGCTATCGTCTGTAATTGTAGAACTACAAAGTGCACCTATATAGTAAGTGGAGCTGATAAAATGGACAATGAGCACAGAAACAAGGAGGTGGTCATAATGTTATGCCTGATCGGTGTATACTTCATGTCCATTTTATCAGCTCCACTGACCATATAGAAGCACTTTGTAGTTCTACAATTACAGACTGTAGTCCTTCTGTTTCTTTGCATACTTTATTACCCTGTTCTTGGTCAGGACCCCCACAGGACCCCCACAGAGCAGGTGTTCTGCATTTTAATTGTTAATTTCTATAACCATTATGTCAATTTATACAAGTAGCATTGGCTGAATTTGACTCTTGTTCTGTCTTTGTGTTTCAGCTTTAATAGTTTAAACTAAAACTACTTTTTATTTTAGCTTTTTGACTCATTGCACATTATAGGCTACAGTTGTTTATCTTTCATCAGAAATGCTTGATACCGTTGACAATCTTCACTTAAAAAAATGATGCATAAGCCTGTGTAACACCCGAATTTGTCATTTTTGTCTGTTAATGCAGAATCTTTCAACAGAGAACTGTGATGCCCCGAACACTGGCTTTACATGGTGAAATGTTCATGCAACCAGTATGTTGTAAGTTGCCTGCAACACAATTTCAATGCAAGTTGACAGTTACATGAAGCAATTAAAAAACAAAGTTGCATGCAACACATTCGGTTATTCTACCAGGTAGCCAAATTAGCATTATATATTTGCAGCATTTTTATCATCTTTGTATATTTTTCATTGCCTTTTTTTATATTTATATATCTGTCTTTCATCTTTCTATCTAGCTTTGGTCACTGTCAGAAATAAAGGTACTAAACTGCCACTGGTGGCCCTCTTGTCACTGGGGTGGGACCCTCAAGGGTCCATCTCAGTACCTTTAGTCAGGGAACATAACTGAACCATAATCCACTGAAATGATATGTTCTAAGCTGTACTGACTCCACACACCCCGTCTCGCCTCCAGGCTTTTATTTCACTGTTCTGTTTTAAAACATTCGGTTATGAAAAGGTACAAATACGAACTTTTCACCTGGAAAAACTTATTTAAGGATCACAATCAGACCTTAAAACCACTGTTGGAGCTTTGAGGGAACATTTACATTGTTTGTAGCTTGACGAACAAAAATGTACCTGAACAGAACCTTTATTACTAACTATATATATATATATATATATGTATGTATGTGTGTGTGTGTGTGTGTGTGTGTGTGTGTGTGTGTGTTTTTCATCTGTTGTATATTAAACCTTTGAAAACGAATGTTACAGCAGCCGTTACAGTCATACCACCAACCTCGAACCAGTTGAAGGCTTTGTTTTCTACTGCCCAGTAAACCATCACCTGTTTCATTTTCTGCACAGTCATTTTAAAGTATGTCGTTTAATGTGATCATCACATATTATGCTTTGATTGGCTGTTTCATGAACCTGCTTTCACAAAGTTGAGACATTTGCAATGGTTGCGGCTGAGTTTCAAGTGGGTTGCAGGAAACTTTACAAACTTTACATGCAACTCAAGTGCAGTTTGGTTTAATGAAGGATTCAAGCAACTAAAGTTTCACCATGTAGAATTTTTAATGGGATTTGCATCCAAAGCAGGACGTGCTCACCTGCTGCCGCTCGTTGTGTGTGGCTTGGCCTCCACCCAGGTGGCGTGTGTCTCTCCGTACATCAGCTGCTGCGGGCAGTGCAGGGCGTGAGTGTGTGCATTGTGCGAAGGCCAGAAGAGCGAAGGGCTGAGTTGGGGTCCCACCATGGGGCTGTCTGAAATTGGGGGTCCGAGGGTCAGCGCATTGGTGGTGAACTCAGCGTCTGCAAACGGAGACGGGATACACACGGTCCCCCTTTCCACAGCCAGGGGGGAGGGGTAGAGCGCAGGAAAGACAGCAGGGGGGTCATCCCGTTCGGGCGCCTTCACTAGCTGCAGGACGGGGGGCACGGATTCAGCAGCGGAGTCAGGAGAGGAGCTCATCATGGGGGACAGCAATTAGGCGAAATTCAGACTGAGGAAGCAGCGTCCATCACAGGCCTCGTAACGTCCAAGAGAATTCTGAATAAAATAAAAAGGAAACAATCAGCAAACAGTATACAGCACCAGTCAAAAGTGTGGAGACGACTGACTGAGCGTGTTTTTCTCACCATGTAAAACTCATTTTCTACATCCTTGAAAGAGTTTTAGGAATTAGGTAAACATCAGAGGTGGGAACAAGTCACTATGTTGCAAATAACAAGTAAGTCTCAAGTCATTACAGGCGAGTCTCAAGTCGAGTCCCAAGTCAGTAGTCCTAATCTTCAAGTCCTAAACAAGTCACACTGCATTCTTCAGCTAATTTAAGGCCATAACACTGAATAATGGTAAAAGTACTATAGCCCTTTAATTACAGCATATTAAAAAAGTGTATGGCTGTATATTCATTTATTATGTATTTATTTATTTATTTTATTTCCAACTAAAATACTAACTCCATGGTACACAGATAACCATGACAGGCATACTGTGTACACAAACAGTAGCTCATCTACACATGAAAAGAATCTTGAAAGTACTATTGAGCTTAATTTTTAAAAACTTCATATTTGTAGATGATTTTTGGCAACACTGGGCTCACAGGATTAAAATAAAAACTATCTCAGCCAACTAAAAACAACCGCTAGTTTGAATTTAATTTAGATGAAAACAGAAACCATAACGACCGAGCTGAGCTAAACACAGTTTACAGAAAAGACAGCAAAATGATGAAGTTGACTTTTCGCCAGCTTTTTAATTGAATTTTCCGTTCCACCTTATATGGTGCAGCAGTTCCGTTCCAGCGCCTCACTGCTGCACCGTTTACGATGGAACTGAAAATTCTAACATGGAATTCTAATATGCAGAAGCTAACAGACCAACTTTAGCCTTGTGGTGAATGTTGCACTTGTTTTACCTGCAGAAGCTGTTGAAATCGGTAAGACACAGAGAGAGCGTGTTTCTTTGTTTTACTACCATGAGGAAAATGGTCAGTTCGTCTGGTGAGTTAAGATTTTAAATGCTGGCGCACGTTCACATGAAACATAATCAACTGTGTAGAGTCCCGTCTGCAGTCAGAATCTCCATGTTTCTTCCACTTGTGTCTCGAGTCTCACCAAGTCATGACACTCAAGTCCGAGTCCGAGTCACTGGTATTGAAGTCAAAGTCGAGCCGCAAGCCTTTTCCGCATTCTCGAGTCGGGTCTAAAGTCATCAAAATGAGTCCAATCATGTGACTTGAGTCCACACCTCTGGTAAACTTTGCTATGTTTTCAAAATATATGACTAACTCCACAGTCCATACAGTGCATATATGGAAAAAGAGCCCAATTTGAGTTCATGGCGTTTGTGATGTCACATCTATGCATTCACATATCTCCGCCTACTGCAGTTTAGCCCTGCCCTTTGACTTTGACGTTATAAGGAGTGTTTCAGCCCAGATTGCTTTTTTAAATGAGGCACAGTACAAAAAAAAAAAAAAAAAAACAGAACAGAGCTCATTTACATATCTCAGTCAGTTTTAAAGGCACAGTAACGAGAGTGGCCTGTGTAATTGTAAGAGATTAAGAAAGGTCAGAAAATGGTCATGTAAAAACCAATTAGGACTGTGTTTGGTACAGAAATCCACACAAATGCAGTAAGTCTGCAGATATAAAACAGTCAAAGGGCTTTAATGTTGGAAGGACAGTTCAAAGTCGAATGGATGAAGTCAGACCAAGTTAAAACTGGACCAGGCAAAAAATCGAAATCGAGTTACAGGCTAAGGTCAAAAAACAAAAAAAAGAGAATTAAGCAAACTGGACAGAAGTACAGGGCAAAAAGAGTTAACTGAGAATCACAAAAACAGGTCAAAGCATGAAAAATACAAACAAGAAAACAAGGAAATAATGGCAATATTTCACAAACAAGCATGACAAACAAAGGAGTGTTTATACAGACCAAGACACTCAAACACAGGTGAATGAATTAGAATTCAGGTGAGGCACTTCTTAGCAACTGTCCATGATTGGGTGATGGAGGGCATGTGTTCATGACGTGTTGGTCTGTTGAATTATGGGAAGTGGAGTCTTTAAAAATGGAGGATAAATGCAAAAGTGTGACAAAGTGTGACCCTGGGCAGATGAAATGAAATGTAGGTTTAGAGACCCTTTAAAAGACATTTTGATCTAAAAGCTTCTGCTTAAATCAGAGGAGTCTTTAAGAAATGATTCAGTGTGTCATTTCGCTATGATTTCTGAATCATTTTTAAGACACTGAATACACAAATATGACTAGAGGAGCTATTGACACCACCAGGCTTTGCATTCTCAGCACACGTATTTTCAAGAAACCCCAATGCCTGCAGTGACCATGCATTGCTCTGTCAATGAACGGACTTTTATTGCAGCCAAAAAATGACAGCATGCATTAAACAGTACTGTGCGAAAGTCAGAGACCACTTTTAGTTTAAATTTTTCAGTCTCGGGGAAAAAGAAGAAAACATATATTTAACAGAAAATTACACAGAAGCCTCAACAACTAAATATCATATAATTTGCTTCAGTATTTAGTGTGTCCACTCGTAACTTCTTTTACAGCTTCCATTCTTCTCAGGGCACTGCTGCAGGGATATTTTTCCATGAGTTCAGTTCTAAGGTGTATGAGGTGTATGGGTCATTCTCCGTTCAGAGTGGGAATTCAGGTGGATACTTTTTTAAAAAATCAGTTTCTTTCATCCCAAAACTAATCTTAATATGTCCATTAACATCTCCTATTATCATACATGCAGAAAGCAGAGCTTAATTCCAAACATATGTTTACAGTCACTGGTGTTGTATGAATATGGTGTAACACCAGTGATGGTGACTCCAGTGACATTCTGGTTAAACCTGAGGATTTCGTAAATTGTCTGACTCATTGGCTGATCAGGTGACCTTGTGCAACTATTTAAAATCAGTTATAAAAACGATATACGGCATTATTCTGACAAATTTTAATTACCCAGCCATTAAAGCACATAACACCAGTGACACATAGAAGTTTTGTGCTGCCTGATAAACAATTATTAATAAATTAATGAAATATAGTGAGCAAGTGTGACTCGCCTTCTCATGCCTTGAAAGGCTTCCTCTCTGATGAGCCTCGACCCAAAGAAGCAGATTAATAGAGCTGAAAATACTGTGTTCAAAGTACTGAGTCCTGATAACACCAGTGACCAAAATCTCTGTGACTAATGAATTTAAAAAATAAAATATATATTTTTTAAACGTAGTATAATGTTAATGAGATACCAAGTATACAATAATCTGCTTTATACAAATTCCTAAGTCTTAAAAATAGTTTTATATTAAAAATGGTTTCTCAAATGTTGAAAATTGGTTTCGTGACGAGCTGTTTTACAGATGCAGAGCGACTATGAAACAGGATAAAAAAAGGACAAGCAGAGAATCAAAAAGGAAAAGTATTATTTAATCGTAGGTCAACTGTGTAAATGCAAATATCTTAAGCATATTTTTATGCCACGCAACCTTTGTGACATGGATTCCCACTCCAAATGGAGAATGACCCACATAAGCTTGTATAACTGGACATTGTATAATATTCAAAAAGGAAAATCAAACTAGTTGCATTTAGGGTATAACATTAAGTAGAAGATCAATACAACACTGTAGGAGCAATAACTCAGCATCAATAAGGACACACAAGCATCATCTTGCCAACAAATGAGGAAAAATCTTCTCACTAACTGCTTTTACGTGTCCGAACTTCAGTGAAACTGAACCTGGGTCGTCTTATCCTCAAAAGAGTTTCTGTACGAGGTTACTCTGCTCTCTCCTGCAAAAGCTGTCCCACTAAACTAGACAGCATAACTGGTCCAGAACAGACTCATTTCACCATGTTGACAGGCCCAACTGCCTGCAGTCTGCTGGTAATAAGCATCCAGTTTTGGATCCAGATCCAAACTATCCCACTTGCACAGGAAAAGTTTCTGAAGATTAAACTGAACAATGAAAAATCAAATGTAATGTAGTCAATCAGCCAAGACTTCAGCTTTGCGCGGAAGCTATGATGCTAATGTAGCTAACAATTAACAGAAGCTTTTGTGCACCAATTAGCATGATGCTAACTGCATATCTAAACCATCACACACTGTGTTGTTGTTTAATCTCCAAACAGACCTGCTAATGTGGTTTCTGACACTGTATGACACACTGTTACATAGGTACATTAGCATATTAGTACATGGGCTAATAACAGTAGTAACAGCCATCTTGAAGCCCTGAGTGTGAGGATTTAGGCCTGCAGTCTGCACAATGCTAACTGATGACTACTTGTTAGCTACATTAGCCTCGTAGCTACTAAAAGAGGCTAAAAAAAAATTTCGGACACCAGACATGTCTTGGCTGATCACCTACATTTGAAGTTTTAGAAAAAAGTGTGAAACTAATGTCCCTGCTAAAAAAAAAAAATGAGCATAGCACCATCAAAACCAGCTTTGTATTTTTCAGCAGGGGTGTAATGAATATGGACTGCAGTGTCTATTATATAAAAGACGTTTTTAGCCTGCCAATGGGACTTAATCTCCGTCCCCACTGTAAATCCATCAGCCCTCCATAAATTTACAGTCCATTCAACTCAAATGTCCCTTTTTCAGAAGATGGAAAAAAGATCCGAAGGCACAAAATGGAAAAAGAGATGGAAAAAGGTACCAAAAACTGAAAAAAGTCACTTTCTGTGGCAAAGGTCCCGCAGCATGTTTTGCATAACAGTGTCAATAGAGACGGACACGCAGACTGACGATTCTCAGCAGAGCCAGAGTCAACACAGCCGCGGCCCAAACAGAGAGAACAGACTGAACCTGACTAATCTCATCCTGAGGAAAGAAAACAGCGCAAAAACTGAACAAATCCGACTGACGATGATCGTCAGGTGGGAACGCAACAAATCGTGACTGTCAAAATGTGTTGGAAGAAGTTTTAGATGTGTCTCTTACACTCTGTTCTTCTGGGACTTTTAAATTACACATAAACAATCTTTTCACAAAACAATCAGATTTATGTAGT